GGGGGGGGGGGGGGGGGGGGGGGGGGAGGGGGGGGGGGGGGGGGGGGTGTCCGTGTGCACAACATGACACACCTCACAGGCCTAGACGACTGCACAACACGGCAGAGATGCACTCTTATAATGAAATCCTTTGCTTGCTTGTTGCCTGGCAACCAAAATACTGATTCATATGGCACATACCGCGCACACGCCTGACACTGCATTTCTGATATTTGGAGGAAGGTGTATTCACGGATGAGAGCGGGAGATGTGAGAGGGAAGCAGAGCAGGAGTTATGAAATCAACACCAGGAGAACAGAGGGCAGAATGGAAGTGAAAGGATGACCCCATCCCTGGGCGACTCCTACGGAGGAACACAACAGGTGGGCGGAGCTCTGCAGCTTCGCTTGGCAAAATCTCAACAAAACAAACCCGGGCTGTTTCTTTTCTGAACGCTGCAGCTCAGTGGGCTGATCTGACTTTCACAGATGCATTTATTCCTGTCAGTCTTAAAATAAGACTGATCTTTTGGATGGTGTAACTTTGGCTAAAGCATTCGCTCTGACTAGTTAGTTATCAAAACAACAACATTACCTGAGATTCTCATCATTTATAACCAGATGTTTATATTTCTGTTTTTTATGTTCTTTTCATCGCTATTTCGGTAAATAAAATGAAAAAAAAAATTGATACCAAATTTCTTTAATTCAATCAACTCATTTTATCCAGGCTAAAGTGAATAATTTTAGCCTGCACTCACTTTCAGCCAGGCAAAACGCTAAAATATAGAGCTAACATAGATTAAAAAGCTAGAATGTTTGAAATTTTCTGGGGAACCTGTGGAAGGCCGTTTGTGACCAATTCATAGATAATTTATAAAGACCAACTCAGGCACCAGAATAAAGGCTGATGAATGTGGTCATTAGACACGGCCCTAATTGTAGCGGACAACGACCGGAGCTTAAAAATGGCACAGACGTCTGCCTGTAAAAGGTCAGGACCACCCTGTGTGCAGCCTTGGACTTTTCTTCTTTTCCACCCTGGTTGTCTGAGAGACCAACACACTTCACATTAGCAGCAAAAACTAGTTGTTGTTTTTTTGCCTCCTATTGCACTTAACAAATTGAAACACTGAAAACAACTCAACTCAAGAGGAGAATGTGAGATCTGGCCTGAAGCAGGACTGTGGGCAGCCTCAGGCAGATGGTGTTGAAACAATTTGCAAAGCAGAGAAACCCTAGTGGCAGACTCCCGTATCTGACGAGAGAGTGTTTTCTAGGGATTACTAAGCATGAGTGCTAACACACACACTTGGACACAGGACTAGTAAGAAGACACTGTCTGATCCATGGAGCAGCAGCTGGTCGGCTCTGTTAGTCCTGAATTTAGGGACTCAGTGGCCTCCGAACAGCAACTGATAAAATCACAAAATACGCACTTTAACATTTGCTATAATCATAATCTTCATAATCTTCCGTCTGCATATTTTTAAAATTAATTAATATTTTGACAAATTTAATTGAAATTCTATTTTTGAAAGACGGTTTTGTTTAGAGTTCACTGTAACCTGAACAGGTGGAAAAAGAAACTGTTAAATTGTGCCATCGAGAGCATACAAAAGTTTTTAAACAACTCCGGGGAATCATAAATGTTAATGGTGTATTTGCTGAACAAATAACAACCAGTAGAAACAGGATTTTTATTTTACTGACTGAAGCAGTCTAATAACTACTGGGCTTAAAAAATGAGATACAGGGCTGCGGTGAACTGCAGGCAATGTTCACAGGGGGCGCCATATGTGGACAGATGAGTCCACACCAAAACCGTCTTCTCATGCTTACACAGGTCCTGTTCCAGCCTATGGTCACCTCACTCTCTATTGAACCTTTCCTGTCTAAGGACAGTCCTAAATGTCCAAGGCCCAGTCCTAAATGTCCAAGGCCTAGTCCTAAATGTCCAAGGCCCAGTCCTAAATGTCCAAAGACTAGCCCCTGTCTCACTTTTAAAGACAACATGACATTCAGTAGCAGTTTCTAATATGGGTGACATGGGCAGCTGCCCACAGCAGCATGTAGGCATCTGGTCGGCATATGCGTCCCAATGATGAGGGGGAAAAAAATGAGAACAAAAATTAGGCTAATACTTGTGTACTAGTTTTCTATTGTGCATTTTCTCATCAGCTTGTCAAAATGGGTCGTTTGTATTTATTTATTTTTTTTAATTAAAGACTCTTAGTGTGCATGCCTATTTGTTTTGCAATTTATTTCAATACTCCCTACTTTACGAGCGTACAGTACAAGTTTTTACTGTGTCATACAAATGAGAGTTCATGGCAAAAACTTTTTTTCATAGTCAAGTACGCCAATTTCCACTGCTGCCAACACCATATGTTGGCATGTAGTCAGCAGCTAGAGGGCAGAGGGCAGGGAGTATGGAGGGTCCAGTGATGTCACTGGGTAAAAACTAATACAATAATTAGGCCAGTTATTAAATTTTACAACCTGGAAACACACCTTTGTATCTAATCAACACACACTGTTCCTGAATATAAAATAATTATAATAATAATCATCACATTTGCTGTTGAACCAATCGCTCTGATGATGAACTAAAGTCATTCAATCGAACCAAACTCGCAGGACGTTAAGGAAGTTAAAAACACTACACTCCAGCTGATACGGAGTTGATGTGACTGACGAGCGGGTGACGTACCTTCTTTTTGGCATCACAGTGGCAGCACACGGTCCACAGGTATTTGAGGGTCCTCCACAGGAGGATGATGAAGAGACCCCCGAAGAAAGTCACCATGGAGGATGCGAGGAAAGCCCACCACATCCGCTGACCGTTGCTGTCACACGGCACATCCGATGAGAAGGGGATAATTACATTCATCTTGGATATGTGGATAGAAGGGTCGGGGTTGAATTTCTCTCTGCTCTTGGGCATCATGGGCTTTGGATCAGCTGCCTGCCTCCAGAGCGTACACTCCAGTCAAGTGCGAGTCAGGCGCAGCGTGGAGTTCCAGCCAGCGTCCCCTGATGCCACCGCTGCGCGGCCATGTCGAGTGGACTCTCTCCCTCTCCTTTGGTTTCTCTGGACAACGGCGTCACGATGAGTGGACAACAGATGACAGTGTGCGTGCGTGTGTGTGGAGGCTGTGGGGGGGGAAACTTCCTTTGAAATGCAGATTCAGTCGTGCGCCTTATATGATGCGCCCTCCTTGGCGGCGCTTGCGCGTTACTTTCAGTGCTCGCGTAACAACAATAAATAAAGCGTCCGTCAAAGTTATAGTGAACTCACGACTGCGTGCACAGCGGTCGTGAATTTACAGCGTGGTAAATGAAAGTCCTCTCCTGTCAGTGGATGGATGGATGGATCACTCCTCCACCTCCAGCTTGCAGGGGCTCCGCGCCCTGTTGAATGCGCTGCCGCCTGCGTCAAAAGTCGCGTTGAGCCGATCTTTATTATAAGGAAAGCTTCGTCGGGAAACAAGCAGCGGTCTTCAGACGCCCTGTCCCCGCTGCTGCGGCTCTGGAAGCTGCCTGTCACATCCAGTCGCTGTGGAAGATGGCACCGCAGATTTACAGGTGGCGGACGGAGGAGGAGCCATCAATAGTCGACGTCGATGCTTATCTGGATGTTTGGTTATTTATAGTGACCGCTTCATCCATCTTTGATGACTGTTACTTTGTGGTCACATCCGTCAAACACCTACATGTGGGGGCATGGGTTTACACTGAATGACAAACGCTGAAGTCAAATTACAAAACACAGACAAAAGAATTCCACCTGCTTCATTTTTTAGTATTAAGTTTTCATTAAGTATTAAGTATTTCCTTTGCTTTAATTGCAGGATAGACAGAGTAGCTGTCTAACTGAAATATAAGATAAAAAAAATAAGAAGTAGTTTTTGTTTTTATGGACTCCTTAAAACTACAAAATGACAGTAACAGGACAAAGAGCAGTGCTCTGTACATAAAGCAGCGTCATAACTGCGGATCTGATTCAAAACAATTAACATCTCGCCAATCAGTAAAAAAAGTGTTTTTTCTATTATAAGCAGATGTGACAAAGTGGTGTGAAAACAATTTCTCACCTGCACTGGTTGTGGTTTACGCCACCTGGTGGACAAATAACGCACTGAACCTTGAGGTCTTTGAGGAGAGCCCTGGTGTAAAAGTTGGCAGATATAACAAACACCATAGATTTACACAGTGGTTATTGCCTATTGCCACCAGTTCCAGTTCCCCTGTGACCATGTAAAGGAATTAAAGGGAGAAGATAAATTTGTAAATCTAATTTTCTCATTAGCTGGTACTTCAAACGACCAATTCTTTATGTGAAAACCAAAACCCATTAGGAACCTGACACTTGCAAGTGGAAATTGGAAACTTCCTTTGAAATGCAGATTCAGTCGTGCGCCTTATATGATGCGCCCTCCTTGGCGGCGCTTGCGCGTTACTTTCAGTGCTCGCGTAATAACAATAAATAAAGCGTCCGTCAAAGTTATAGTGAACTCACGACTGCGTGCACAGCGCTCGTGAATTTACAGCGTGGTAAATGAAAGTCCTCTCCTGTCAGTGGATGGATGGATGGATCACTCCTCCACCTCCAGCTTGCAGGGGCTCCGCGCCCTGTTGAATGCGCTGCCGCCTGCGTCAAAAGTCGCGTTGAGCCGATCTTTATTATAAGGAAAGCTTCGTCGGGAAACAAGCAGCGGTCTTCAGACGCCCTGTCCCCGCTGCTGCGGCTCTGGAAGCTGCCTGTCACATCCAGTCGCTGTGGAAGATGGCACCGCAGATTTACAGGTGGCGGACGGAGGAGGAGCCATCAATAGTCGACGTCGATGCTTATCTGGATGTTTGGTTATTTATAGTGACCGCTTCATCCATCTTTGATGACTGTTACTTTGTGGTCACATCCGTCAAACACCTACATGTGGGGGCATGGGTTTACACTGAATGACAAACGCTGAAGTCAAATTACAAAACACAGACAAAAGAATTCCACCTGCTTCATTTTTTAGTATTAAGTTTTCATTAAGTATTAAGCATTTCCTTTGCTTTAATTGCAGGATAGACAGAGTAGCTGTCTAACTGAAATATAAGATAAAAAAAATAAGAAGTAGTTTTTGTTTTTATGGACTCCTTAAAACTACAAAATGACAGTAACAGGACAAAGAGCAGTGCTCTGTACATAAAGCAGCGTCATAACTGCGGATCTGATTCAAAACAATTAACATCTCGCCAATCAGTAAAAAAAGTGTTTTTTCTATTATAAGCAGATGTGACAAAGTGGTGTGAAAACAATTTCTCACCTGCACTGGTTGTGGTTTACGCCACCTGGTGGACAAATAACGCACTGAACCTTGAGGTCTTTGAGGAGAGCCCTGGTGTAAAAGTTGGCAGATATAACAAACACCATAGATTTACACAGTGGTTATTGCCTATTGCCACCAGTTCCAGTTCCCCTGTGACCATGTAAAGGAATTAAAGGGAGAAGATAAATTTGTAAATCTAATTTTCTCATTAGCTGGTACTTCAAACGACCAATTCTTTATGTGAAAACCAAAACCCATTAGGAACCTGACACTTGCAAGTGGAAATTTTTTAAAAAAAAAGAAAGAAAAAAGGTTGCTGTACATGTGACACCAAAGGATGACTAGATATTGGTTCATAATTTGACAAGGTTTTTAACTTAATGGAATTTGAGTCTAATATAAATGTACTTTTCAGGATCTACCAGAATCTTTACTGTCAAGTGCGTGTAGTCTCATTCAGTGCAAGCACTAAAACGGCACAGATCAGTGAGCAGCTCTTTGGGTCTATGCCCTGAAGAAGTACTACTGACTCAGGTTTTGCTTAATAGACTGCCTGCAGAGAAGGCCAGAAAGAGCAGCACTGTCTTGTGGATTTAGAGAAAGTATTTAATAGGGCTCCAAGGTAGGAACTGTGGTACTGTTTGAGACAGTGAGCAGTAGCAGAAGAGTATGAGAGGGACGGGTTGTTGTTGTTGAAGATTTGAAGATTCATTTCCATAGCCATGAGGTGGTATGCAAATGTTCTTCACGAATGGGAGCACCACATTCAACTTTCATATGTTCAGATAAGTTTTTTTTCCCAGATGACCTGACACATTTAGGAAGTCACCAGTGCATGAAAAGCAATTTAAAAAGTGAAACTAACCGAGCAGAGAGCGAACAAAGATGAACCTTTACCACAGACTAGTGAACAGACTGCAGCCGGCTGAGCGGAGCAGAGCGGCTACATCTCTGCTCTTTGTTCACTGCTGTTGGGAAAGAACCAGAGAGAAGAGTGGGGAGCAGTGGTGGCTTAGAGGTTAAGAAAGCGGACTTCAGGTTCAAGTCCACCAGCTGCCAAGTCACCACTGAGGTGCTCTGAGCATGGCACCATCCTCACACACTGCTCCCCCTTAAAGCTGCCCACTGTTCACCTTGGTGATGGGTTAAATGCAGAGTGTGTGCAGTGGTGTGCAGTGTCACAATGAAAAGTAGTTCACTTTCCTTTCCTTTTACTTCTCAAAAGGGTGGAGGTTTCTTCCCGATGACTGCGCTGCCGCTCCATCGATGTGTCCAGGTCAGAAAGAGTCAAATCTGTTCAACACGCCATCTTTGTAAATGTGAAAAGCAACTAATTAGGTAAGAATAAACTCAGCATTTCAAAAGACACACAGTGACAACATGCATCCCATAAACTGCAGTGGTTGTTTTAATATTTTATAGAAACACGAACCTTCATGACCTACTGCTGAGGTTTCGTCCAGCTTTATCATGAAATGTTGACACTGCAATAATCAAGGTGAATGTAGTGACAGCCGACCATGACCCGGGAAACAAATAATCCCTTCTTAAAAGTACACTTGAGAAACAGTATATTCAACAACAAACACAAAACAATTGAGTAAACTGGTTACACCAACATACCTGTAGTTTGAATCATTATGGCAGTTAATAATAAAAAAGAATGTAAAGTGATTAAAATATGTTTAGCTTGGCACATTATTAGTCTTAGCACTGAAATGATGTCAACATTCAAAGATCTGGTTACACAGGGTAAGAGAAAAAGAACAGAAGGAAGCCAACCTGCCCCGATTTCTTCTAGAAATACAAATCTCCTTTCTGTTGACTAGATAAATTCATTTGTATAACAAACGTTCGTATCCGACATCACTAAACTGTTTAGATAAATAAATGGCAGGAGAGAAAATAAACACATAAATATATAGAGAGGAGCACACTGCTCCCAGTTTCTTCATATCCAGAATTAAGTCTTTAGTTTGCATCCATGTATATTCCTATGGTCCAGTCCGACTTACTCACGGTTCAATTAAGGAAGTGCTACTAGATTTAAGGAGGAATAGAACGTTCAAGTAACAAGTGCTAGTGTAAACAAAGCTATGTGTGGTACAGTACAACTCTACTGCAGTGGAAATATTTACACCATCCTCGTCAGTGCAGGTGAAGAGAATTGGAGTTGAGTGCACCCGTTCACCGTGCGACCCATAATAGAAGTTTAAAACAAAATGAGTGATTGGGTGAAAGTTCTAAGGTGCTCCGTGTGGAATCCACAGTACTTTACTTTGCTCCTGCTCCACAATGGTCAGGATCTGAGTGCAAATGTAGGAGACGCTGCCTCCTTGGACGACACCTTTGAAAACAGGAAGGGTCAGAATACTGCTACGAGCTCTGCAAAGACTCAGACTCGGCCTCGGCCTTATTGACATTTATCATTTATCATGCAACATGAAAGAGACAAACACAGTTCCCAGGTCTCAGTGTATTGCACAGATCACTGCCACACGGTGTGATCAGCAAGCATTTCTCTGATGCTGCGATAACATCATTTAACAATTAAAATACCTACTAGATTATTAAGAATAACCCAATAATTAAAGTCTACACTACACTAATCTATATTTAATTACTGCCTTTGAACAGACACAGAAATGATTTGTGCGTCAAAGTCACTTCCTACCTGTGAAGAAGCGGCTGTACTCCTGCTCCGTTTTCTGTGCCACCTCAAACTGCTCCTTGGAATGTCTCTGTGATAGTTTATCGCGCAGGTACAGCGGATCCTTCTGTTCCCTGACGGCACATCAAGAGAGGCAGATTCCACACATTTAAAACAAGCTAGAAAGTAATGCAAAAGCACATTTCTAAAAACTCGTTATTGATCTTTATATCAGTACACACGGCAGAAGACGATAAATCAAGGGTCCACAACCCCTGGTCCACAGAGGCCCCTAAGTCATTTGGTACCATGCAGCAGAGAAATAATTAATCATTTACTTGATTTAAAGACAATCTGGTCATTTTCATGAAAGTTTTTAAAAACATAAGTTTTTTGGACAAAAGATAAAAGAAGAACAAAATGGCGCTACTTGTCCATGGTAGTGGCCGACTGGTCCTTAGTACAGAAAAGGTGGGGGACCACTGCAATAAGACAGTGTACCAGGGCCTCATCAGGGACTGCACACATGAGTGACTATAAACAAGCTGCAACAGAGTAGAAACTCAAAGAGAAATCCTTCCAGCCCACTGCCTCTCTCTTCAGTCCTCATCCACTGGGAGCCTTTGACCCAACAACAATCACACTGTCATTTCTCTCTGGTACTCAGTGCAGACACACACACACACACACACTCAACATATTGGTCTGCTCATGACTCCCACAGGACAAAAGCCCATGTAAAAGCCAGAGCTTCTGTCTCACTGCAGCAGACACGAGGGGAGGTGGGAGGTGTGTTTGTGGCGGCCACTCTGAACGGGGGCACAGAGTGCTGCAGCCACCCACGCTGTGATGCCGAGCCACAGATCCTACACGCTCTCTCTGGACAGCTGGCACTCAGCTGATGACAGCACAGGCTTAGAAAGAATCAATCTCCATCTTTGTTTTTGCTCGCTGCACCACTTTATGGATTTTAGTGATGCAAAGTTAGTGTGTGGCCGAGAAAAGAATGTTTCTGCTGCGAGTCTGTGAGGCACCACGCCAGGGGCTGAGTAGACTCTGACCTGATATTGAAAAAGAATTGGAGTCTTTTGGCTAAGTCTCCCTGTTTCAACCTCGGAGGCGGTAAAGAAGAACTACTGAACAAATGAAGCTGATTAAATTAGTTTCATGAACTGCTGTGCCTGCAGGATTAACATGATTGGGGAAGCAGCAGGAGGTTTGTGCACCTCCTCTGGACAGAGAAGGTTATTGGAACAGTTCAAGTTTATTTACACACCCAAAAATTCTAAACTATTTCTAAGGACGGTATGCATTGAAGTGCAGCAATTGCATAAGAATGTAAATATAAAAAACTACAAGATAAAACCAGTTGATCGTTGAGGTTTATATTACAGTTTATATTATATATAATTACAAATTTAGGTGAATTGATTATTTTTATTTTCTAGACAAGAGGTTAACAACAATGTCTATCAGAGGCACAGCATTTTTCTATTTTTTTTTTTCAAATACAGTCATACATAGTGGGCATTACTGATAGTCATGATCATTGTTCTAGACCTTAAATGTAAGACATTGGGAGGAAAAAACTTACTTTATCTGCTTGGCATTTTTGTAGCGAATGAAAATGACAATCGGGTAGATGTGAACGCTGTGAAGGCGTTCCATGGCGTACGGAGCGATGTCTAGCAAACAGTGACAGTCCTATTACAGGGAAAGAAAAAAGTAAATTAAAAACTGGTTCTGTGATGGTTCGTGGCAGCAGCTCTGACATTAATAAAATACTTTTACATATGCTGTCCTAGGTTTGAAGACTTTAACCTGATGCTTAATGACTGGTTTTTATTTTTACCTTCTCTGTGATTTCCTTTATTGAGGCGACAGTCGTCACGTCAAAATGGCCACTCCTACGTTTGTAGTCGATGAACACACAGTCCTTCACTCCTCGCTCTATTGCCTGCTGAGAGGCCTTCATAATCTCTGCAAGCAAAAATCAATGAAACTTCAGACGCACTTTCTTTTCCTGTTCTGTTCTTTTTTACCTAACACATGGCATTAGGACCAGTTTTAATGATTCATAATGTCACCTTGACAGAAGCGCAGATATTGACAATTCTACTACAGACCGGTGACATGCTCACCTGGCAGACAGCGGCAGAATTTAGCAGGAGCCTCCTTCACCAGCATGTCCTTACAGGGCTCCACCAGTGGTCCTAAAATCAGCACTGGCCTGGGAGACGAGCCCTCCACCTTCTGTACTTGCTGATACATCAGGTTCCCAGCATCTTAGCAGAGAACATGGGAAATAACAACAACACCAGCACATAAAACTTTTTAGTTTTGTCATCATGATTGACAGTGGCGTCAAATATTTTCAAACTCAAACTCACGGGATTACGGGACATTCAGCTGGGGCCTTACCCTCTGTGATGGGGAACGAATCTGTGCTCATAGAGTCCAACGACATCAAATCCTTCCCATCCTTGGACCCGCTGCGTTTGTGTTTAAGCCTTCGCCGGAAAAAGGACCGCCGCGCAGCAGCAGACAACGTCTTGCTGGTGCTGCCGTCATCTTTCATATCAGCCATGCTCTGTCTCCTGCAGAAGTCCTGGTCCATTCTGTTCAAAACATTCTCTTCTTAACACAGGATAAATACATCCAGAACATGCTTCTCTAAACGAGTGACACTACAGGCCTCACTCACATGTATTTACTTGGGATCTGCCCTCGCTCCAGCTTGTGTGCGTTCTCGTCAAGTCGCCATGCCGTCCAGTAGCCGAAGCTTCCGTTAGGAAGAGTGTCTTCTACATACAGGATGTCGTCCTTCTTGAAGCTTAGCTCTTGTTCTACTTCAGCAACCCTCTCATAAAGTGTTCTAAGTAGAAACATAAAAGTTTGTTGGCTTAATAAGGAAGTAACTAATTATTTGACTCAAACCTAATTTCAAACTTCACAAACCTTATAAAGAATCCATCTCCTGGAGTGTCTTTGATTGTAGCCAGGTGGTCTGCGTAGCTCTGTACTTTACAGGTGATTGTTTCTGCTGGTTTTAACATTTCCAAATAAGCTTCTTCTTTAGTTTTATTCTTCATGCTCGTTCCGTTGTACTGTTTGCAAACAGTGAAGACAGAAGACATTTAAATTATTTAACCGTTACGCATAAACCTATGTCCGTGTTGTGAATGTTTAAATAGAGAACGACTAAAATAGAATTATTTGTTCATAACAACTGCCCAAGTGTGTTGTATTATAAATGCACCATGCATATATGATAGCAATGTGACAGGCTGCAGGCACCTCCAGCAGCAGGTCCCCTGGCTGCAGGCCGTCAGGACTCTTAGCAGGACTGTCGTCATCCAGACTCTCCACAAAAATACCAAACAGGTTTCCTCCACAGATCTGAACTCCCAGCTCCCCATGAATCCTCTTCAGCCTTACCAGCCGAGGCTCTGCAGCCCTGCATGAACCTAAGGTAGCAAGTCTAACACACACACAAAAAATAATAAAAATCACACTAGGATTGATTTTCCAGCCTCCGCTGTGAGATGCAGTTTAGGAATAACTCTCTAACCGAAATGAGTTGTTAGCACTGGTGACAGTTGCGCCATCATCGTGTTCTTCAAACATATCTATGACACCCGTGTTGTCTGGAGTGGTGGCCCCGCTGCCTTGAAGTGTCGGCTGGCTGCTTAAGGACTCCATACGTGATCTGAGAACAGAGACGAACAGAAATAAGTTGTATTCCAATAATTTAAAATGTATATACGTATGACACATATATTATGACATCTGCATAAATATCCTCACCCTGAACGTGAATGGTTGCCCAGTTGAAACATGTGAGGGTTATACTGAGCCAGAATAGTGACTGTATCACACTGCTGCCCAATCACCAGCCGTGCCTGCTGCTCATTGGCGTTCCGGAGGTTGATCCCATTGAACTGTAAACAGCAGTAATTAATTAGAAGCAACATAATAAACTGAACACAGCTGGTATTATTCAATGTGCTGAGGCCTTGGTACCTCCAGGAGCTGGTCTCCATATGTTAAGCGGGCGTGATGTGCGATGCTGCCAGCAGTCACTTTGGACACAAATACGCCGCCGTTTTCCCCACTGACGATTGAAATACCCAGGGGTTCAGCTCCTTTCTGCACTGTCACACTACGTGGCTCCTCCAGGTATGGACTATGAGAAAAATATTCAATAAAAGAATTATAACATCTATGGGCAATACTGTTGTCTAAAGCATGGGGTCACTAACTACATTTGTCTGAGGGCCAGGATTTCTCTGGACAGACACCATAAGGGCCGGACAATCAAATAAAATAAAATAAAAATCACATTTTTGTCTAAAATTATCATTTGATGTTTACTTTGGAATCCAGTTGTGGGCAGGATTGGACGGCTCGGCGGGCTGGATTCTGCCTGCAGGCCGCCTGTTGATAGTCACTGGTCTAAAGGACATGGCATGCAATTATGAACCATTAAAGTGAAATTCAAAATAACAGCCTGAATAGTTACTCTTGCCAACAAATAGTTGTTAACATTAACACAGCTAAGAGGAAATGATTTGCGTCCAAGATGCAATGCCATCTAGTCTTAACAAGAAATGGCAGATGTGCCAAGAGCCTCTGTGACTCCAAGTCATGCAATCATACAAAATTCAACAGCAATATGAATAAATAAAAAGCAGGGACAAAAGGATAAGACTAAATGGATTCAAAGCTAAGAGATTCACTTTTTTGTACTGGGTGCTGATGCTGGTGGGATATATGCTTTTAAAGTTTCACAGTAAAGAAAAAAAGATCAGACCAAAAGACTGACAAGTTTAAAACTTACATTTCTTAAATTGTGTTCACACTTAACTGTCAATGTAAGTTACATGCAGCTGATTCTATAAGAAACATATCTTAGAGTAAGACAACAGAGTTGTGGCAGAGAGAGATTTTCAGGTTGCAGTGAACAGCTGCAGCCAGATAGAGATGCAGTGATAGATGGTGAAGTCATGAGTCATGTGTATGAGCTGGAAGCTCACAGCCTTGTTTACTGCTGTATAGCCATTTAATCACATTAGGCCAGACAGAAGCACAGACAAATTGTGGAAAACATGTCATGTTCTGTTGAATGATGACACTACAACAACAGCGACCAGCGGCCAGCCTCACCCATCTTTCCTCCTGTCGCAAACAGGAGCAGGACTGACTGATATCCTTGGCTGGGTGGAAATGGAACTCTGTGACTGGCTGCTGCTGAAAGACGATGTCTCCATGTTGACGGGAGATATTGGAGGTGTTGGGCTGCTACACTCTGAATGTGTGAGAGAACCTTGACAGACAACAGAGAGGTGTAAGTAAGGGTGTAGAGAAATGTGTTCACTGCATGGAAAAAATACCAAAAAAAAACCTCAACAGTACCTCTGTCAGATCCAGAGGAATGGGGATAACGAGCTGGAGGGATTTTAATCCGTTCCGCCTTAAACTGTAAAGTACTCAAGGAGCCTGAAGAAAAAAAACAAGGTGTTTGTTCATCCTATCACAAACAAATGAGTCACTTACGTTTAAAAAAAAAAAACTTTACATATGAAAATAGTCAACAAAAGTCTGTGGGGCAATGACATATTTTTAAACAATAGAAAATGTACCACTAAGCCCAAGTGTCAAACTCAAGGCCCGCAGGCCTTAATTCTGTGCGGCCCACAACTCAGACTGGGTTTTAAATTTCGGCCCAAGTTTGACAACAAAACAAAATGAATCATGTCTTTCTTGAATCACAAAATGTTTAAACAAACGTGTACAAATGACAAATCAAAAATGAACAACAAAGCATTCGCCTGTCAAATTTGTGTTGTTTGGCCATCATGTCGATTACAGTACAGCAGCGAGTACATTAGGTGCTGTATCATAATTAAGCACATAGTTTTGAAATACAATGTTGGATATGATGGACTTCAACTTCATACTGTACATACCCAGCCTGGCACTTGAAGGTAGCGAGTTGGTGGTGTGAGGTTGCTGGCTGCATTTTGTCTCTGTCGACTCCCCGGCTCGCTTGTGGCTGAGATCCAGACTGAGGCGACACTGATGCTGAGGGCTGGAGTCGAGATAATGGCCTCAGTAAGTTTCTCCATGATGTCGTCAGAATAAGATATAATTTATCCATAACCATGCCATTTTAAATATATAAATATTGTTGTTGATAATGATTAAAAATAATAATATAAGAAATAAAACAAACGTGATTACAGTGGATTTCATATTCCTCTTTATATTCCCGACTTTTGCCATTTGGAGTTGTGTTGACATATCAATGTCTGGAAAGTGGTTGGACTGGGAGAAATAAACACCTTGCATGTGCATGCTGATGGACTTCTGAACTTGGAGTGGGGGGAGAGTTGTTGTTGTTGTTTTGGATCTCGTGGCTCCAGGCAGTGAAGACTGGATTTCTCATCACAGCGGTCACAGCAGAACACGGAGCCAGACCTCGCTGTGTGGAGTCTAAAAAAAAACAAAAACAAAAACACTAAACAGTAAGCATATTCCAAACCCCACAGCTAGCTGTTTACTTGATAAGAGGCCTTACGTGCTGTAATGGTGCTGTAGCTTGGAGGGGCAAATGGCATGCTGTACCGATTTGTTCTCATAGGAGAAAAGCGCAACAAATCTCCAGGCTCTGGGGAGTACTCATCATTGGAGAAACTTTGTACCTGCAGGGAACAAGTGAATCGGTCAAAGGATGCATCCAATTTATTTTTATTCATCAGTTAATACTAATTATTTAAGTTATGTTTTCTAATTAAAAAAGATAGGCATATCAAGTGTAAGTCTATGAATCACCTGCATGGGGACAGGGATGTGAAGTGGAGTCATGTTTCTACGCAGCGCTGGAGCAGATTTTGGTCGAAATCTCCTCTTTTCCTGCCCCACTGCCCTGTTCGCACCACCCTCGTCTGCGGCTGTTTTTTTGGCACTGCTCTTCATCTCTCCTGGAGAAGCATCACTGTAATAAAATTGACTTCCTGCCTCTCCTTCATCCTGTGGTCCAGTAGGTTGACCAGGAGAAGCAGGAGGAGTATCAGTGGTGATGGTCGAGTCTGAGGCAGAGCTGTTCTGATGCCGATGTTTGAACCTGAAAGAGTCACTTCTAGCAGGCGGGGTGGGAGGGGTCTGGGCCGACTCGGACATTGAGCTCTGTGGCGAGTGTTTGGGGAGCTGGGAAACAGACATGTAATCCAGCTTTGGCTGCACCTCAGGTCTCCTGAACATGTTCACATCGAAGATGGACTTCCTCTGTTTGGGTTTTTTGTAGATGGACAGCTGGGCGTACTCCGGGACTGAAGCACCAGCTATTACTTTCGGCCATGTGCCTCCACTTGGCTTGGCTGGCGAGTTCTGTACTCGTTCCAGAGTCTGGGGAGCCATCCCTGGTGAGGTGCGCTCAGTGATCACAGTGGTGAATGTGTATGGTCGATGTTGAACGTCCTGCCGCCTGTAGCAGATGTCTGGATGAGGTTCTGAGGGGGTGTATGATGTGGAGAGAGAGCGAGAGTGCAGCGAGCTGTTGGAGAAGGTCTGGTGAGGAGAAGGAGCGTTGGTGCTGCTGTCCTGAGAGTCTCCCGTATCCTTGCTCCCTTGCCTGCCTCTGCAGCCTAGGTCACAGCTGCATATGTCAGTTTGTGTGGAGCAGTTGTGTTTCAGATTCCTGCAGTTCCCTGTGTGCACCTCGCACGTCTGGAGTCTGGAGATCTTTTCGGAGTCTTTCAAACTTTCAAATAAGCTCTGACCAGAGCAACTGTGTGGGAGAAACTGTTGGGAAAAAAAGAACATTTAACTTCGTCTTTATCAATGAATTAAATTCACAGACACAGACTTGTTTGTAAAAAAAAAATCTCTTAAAGTCAAACCAAAATATGTGAACGCCAAAGGGAACACACCTTCATAAGAGAGATGCTCAGAGAATCCCGACAGTTTCTAAGCAGAGACTCACATTCACTGAGTGACTTGTTGTCAAGAGCAATTCCATTGATCTGTGAACGTTAACAAAATATAATTTCAAGTAATTATTTTTATTATTTTATAATGAACCAATACTTAAAAAAGGCTTTATATCGGGAAACCTGTAATTCACTTTTTAAAATACTGAATAAACAAATAAACATTATGCAACCTCAGATCATTTGGAAAACAAGTCACGAGAAATGCCACTAGATGGCAGAGTTGGCGTCCAAAACCTATAGGTAGACACACAAAAAAACCCAAATGGTTCTTTATGTAAAGACAACTAGATTTCTGTGGTCCATACTCACAGCTATGAGTCTGTCACCAACAGTAAGGGCACCATCTCTGGTCGCTGGACTACTGGCAGCCAAAGAGGCAACAAACACTCCACCTTCCAGGCCTATGCCACTATCTGAGAGGGAAAAAATGACAAAGAGGGGTGTTAAAGTTGCAACCTAGACAGCAAATAACAGGATGATTTTATAATGAAGGAATTTTAATTTGAAGTTTGAAGCTGACCTTTGTGTCCAACCAGGTTAATCTGGATGGGAGTGACAATTCGTCCCCCGAGTGACTTTCTTCGGCGTACCACCATATTGATCACTCCCTCTTCACTCAGAACAGCATTAATCACCTGCTTCTTGTCCTTATTGGTCAAGTCCACATCATTAATTTTTAACAGCCAATCATTGACTCTGTATAGGGACGACAGAGACAAGCGTCTGATCATTTATTTGTTATTTAAAACAAATCAAATAAAATGTAATAACCAGCATGAAGAAATAAAATTGTTGTCCTAATGAAGGGCTGATGATATTTCACAGGGATGTACCTTAATCTTCCTTCAGCAATACTTCCTTTTTCCACCTTACTGACAAATATGCCACTGTCTCCAGGTAAATATGGATCATTGACGCCCTCAGCAATTTCAAATCCGAGTGCTTTCAAATCCATGTCCTGAAAAAAAGGGTTTTCGGCTCAATCGATCAAAATGAAACACGCAGAAAAAACAAGTGACACTGAAAATCCCTGTGGCTCTTACTCTGTGCTTTTCAAACTCAATAACTTCCGTCTCCCACTCCATTGAGTCAGTGTCAATGGCAGAGTCATGAGAACTGTGGGCCATCAACTGACGAAACCGCGCTTCTACTTCCAACTGTTCCTCCATCTTTTCTCTGCATAACAAAACCAAACAACAACAAAAATAACAATGAAAATGTTTAGACAGCTCTGAGAATAGTGCACATTTTCTCCACTGGGTGTCACTACAGTTCTGGGGGGAAAAGGCAGACAATCTTGCTGGGGCAATGAAGAACATTTTCACATAAAATCTAACTTTTAACATAATATAGTATACAAGAAATTAGTTGATGACAAGATGTAAAAAAGATTAAAGGATTTACTTTAGTTCTTTGAGTTCTCGTGCAGCATCGTTTTTCTGTTTCCTCATATCGTCCAGATTCCTCAGAGCATCGGCCAGTTCACTCACAGCTCGGTCCCTCTCTCTCCTCAGGTTGTCACATAACGTACTGACAGATAAGCACATTTACAAAAAAGTTACATTTTTAGTTGTCTCTAAAAAATTCCCAAAAAATTCTGTCAGCTTGTCCACCTAGTTTTATGCTAGGTGGAAATGAACTCAGAATCCTCTGGATGGCAGGCGTGAGTCCTACTACATTAGCCTTGCCCTTCTCCCGTATATGGGAACAAACAGATGTATCTGTGATTATTTTCATACCGAATGCTCTCCCGTTCTGCCACTATCTTGTCCCTCTCCTGGAAGGCCCAGTCACGTCGACACTTGGCGACCTCTGCCTCCTGCAGAGCCTCTTTCAGCTCCTGAGAAATTGCCTCGTACTGTTTCCTCAGCATCTCAATTTCCTTGTTGGCACGTTCCATGTCCATAGTAGCACAGTCTTGCTTCTGGAAAAAGAGATATGAGCATACATATATTTTATTAAAATTCCTAAAAATCAAAACAGACAAATTTAGCAATTTGACAACCAAATACGAGTGTATTGGGTTTTGATTTATCTCAGACAAATCCAGTAACTGGTCAAAATCATATACTCTAATGCAGCCTAAAAGCTTTTCTATATGCCTTTAAGAAGGATTTAGGGCATCATGACATGAGTGTTTGAAATGAAAGAAAACATCACTAAAATCTAATAGTTTTTTCTCATCAGGTTCAAGGGCAAACTTCACAGTATCATCAAAGTAAAAAGCAACAATTACCCATGAAGATCCTGTCAAGATAGCCGGAGGTCAAACTGAGTTCAAAGGTCAAGTAGGGTGGTTTCCAATGTGTATAACAAATGTGGCTTTTAATGGAAAGTCTGCTTTCATATGTAAAGTACATGTTCTTTAGTCCAGTCCTTCTGCAGTCGGGAGACGGTCAAATGTAGAGACCGCATTAATTGGTCCAGAGCTGAATTGATCCCATTACACTTTAGTGCACCGTCATTCAGGTTAATTATTGATTTCAGATGCGATACCTTTTCACTCTAATTGCAGGTAATTCTGTAAGGGAGGATTGAAGGATTTCTGAAGGATTCTAAGGACTTTCACTACAATTAGTGCAACAAAGGCATGTATCACAACAAACTACCATGCAGGGTGCTGCCAGCTGCCGGCAAAAAAACATTCACTAATACCACATGAGATTGGATGAGAGAATTACTGTCAGGGAAATAAATCAATCCTTCCATTTGTAATAATAAATCTCCGCTCTGTCTAGCTACCTGTCTAGCCTGGTAATACTCTCGCAACAGCTGGTCCCTCTGGATGATGGCCTCCGTCCTCTCCTTGCGGGCCACGTCCCTCTCCTCTCGCACCATTTCGATGTCCTTGCAGGCCTGACTGAGCTCTTTCTGGGCCTCGGCCTTGTCCTTCACCTCGTGGCAGTATTTCTCCAGCAGCTCGTTCTTTTCACAAATGGCCCGGTCCCTGTCGACTAGAGCTGAAGATAACTCCTTAAGAAGACAAGAAAACAAAACATTTCACGATAAAGCATTAAACACAGGAGGAGGAAAACATATTATGAAACACTTTTTTATTCTTTTCAGGATACAGGGTTAAGTTATTACACTTTTCTACCAGATACCTTGTTAACTTCTTTAGAAAAAAATCAATACTCTGTCTTTGAATAATGTTTTGAAGTCTTACATACATAACTCCAGGTGACTAACAGTATAAACAAGGACCTTTTTTTTCAGCCGTACCTGTCTGAGAGCCTCCAGCTCCTCATTAGCCACCCGTCTCTCTGAAGAAGTATTCTTCAGCTTGGCCTCCGCCACCTCCAGTCCGGTCTGAAGTCTGTCCACCTCTTTGATCACTTGGTCCCGCTCGCTCATGATCAAACGATACTCACTGATCACGGAATCTCGTTCCTCCTTGTATTTTTCGCTGTCCTTCGCAGCCTTGAGCTGCTGGGTCTTCAGCCGTGTGGCCTCTGACTGCAGCCGCTCCATCTCTCGCTGCAGCTCCTTGTTCTGAGCAGCGGCCTTGGACAGTTCCTGATGTGTGCTGTCAAATCTGTCACATAACAAAAAAAAAAAAATATATATATATATATACATATATATATATATATACATATATATATATATATATGTATATATATATATATATGTATATATATATATATATATGTATATATATATATATATATGTATATATATATATATATGTTTCTCTTTGCTGATTATTTTAGCCATAGAGATTTCCAATTTGTGTTTAAAGAGCTCCTGAGAACAAGGAGTGGCCATATAAAAAATGGTCCTGAGTCAATGAGGAAAGCATAAAAATAGGAGCGCAGGTGTTCTTCCAACAGGCTTCACCTGCCTTGAATAAAGAATGGAAGAAATACTGGACAGAATTGACCTTGGCTCTGCGTGCAAGTATTCAGTTTTGAAAGTTTAAAAGATTTCTGTTAGCACGGTTTGTCTGTAAGCCAGAGACTCATTCTGCGCTTACAGAATGGTCTGGAAGCTTTAACTACAGCAATAACGCTGTCCGACAGAAGACAACTAGCTGATTAGAAATGTTTTGGAATTAGCTGGATACATATAACAGGTGCAGTTATGTCCATAACCTCTGACTCTGTACTGTAATGAATTTACTGAATTTCCAGTTCTACCTTCTCAAAGACGAGGAGTATTGCTGCTGGTAGTGGATGGCGACGTCTCTCTGCTTCAGCAGAAGGTCCAGCTGTTTCTGCAAACGAAGGTTCTCCTCCTCGGCCTGGTCCAGGCGACTGAGGTCCACATTATGACCGGCCGTCTTCTCGTTATAGCGCTTCCTCAGGGCCTCGTAGTCGTTCTTCATGGCCTCTAACTTATCCAGCGCTGTGTCGTACAGCTTGTTGAGGACATCAGATGACCCCTCTCTCATCACCTGGAAGAGACGTCATATGGGTAAACTAATGTAATGTCTGAACAACCACTTATAATGGGTTGCCAAAATTAGGTGTGACATTATCTTTAATATATATTCAATAAATATATAAAATATATATTTATATAAATACATACACACACACACATTTTATTGCACAGTATATAGACATACCACCTAAGGCTGTTTTGTATCAAACTATTTTGTTTCTGTTCTAATAGGCCTGTTGCTCTGCTTTAAAGGCCCTCATTTAAACAGAAGGGTGGTTTGAACCGGACCCAAACCACCTGACTACATGGCCATCAGTTTGCCTCCAGTCACAACTACGTCTGTTTGTTGTTTAAACATTAACAGGACTAACCACAGCTTTGTGTGACGGCAGACGTCTGACTTTTATGAGCTCACATTACGTGTTTTTTTTAATGACATTCTTGGGCTACATCTAATATTATTATACTGAGCAGCAGTTTGTCTAAGACTGGAAAACTTCCCCTGAAACTTTCCATGGACATGGAAGCTGTTGTGGATGTGTTCAAGAGTGAAATTCTGATGGCAATATAAATGACTTAGACGTATCAGAAGGTGGAACAGTGGCAGACTCTGCATCTGCAATATATTTAAATCTTGCAATATGAAAGGCTGAATAATTTGCCTGGATACCTGCTGGTGCAGAATCCTCATATCGGCTACTTCCCGCTGGTCTTCATCATGTAGTCTTCTCAGCTCTTCACAGGCCTGCTTCATATGGTTATGCTCCCTGACCAACTGAATGTTGTCCTGTCTCAGCGCCTCAAGCTCCTCCTTCATCTGGGTCTGTTCACTGGCCAGACGACTGTGCAGCGTACTGATGAGACAACAACACAAGTTCTATCTGGTTTGATGCAAAATGTTTTAAAATTTGAATTACGTCTTATTGGAAAAAACATGAAATGAGTTCCCTAAGTTCTATTTTATTTTATTTATTAAATGATATTTATAAGTGTAAAGGTATGATTAAAGGTATAAGCAACAAATAACCCCAAAGGTGCAATTAAAACATGAAAGGGTATATAAATTTCAAGGTCTGATATTTATCATTAACAAACTCTGGACTGAGTCACTGAAGCAAAGATAATCTTTGATGACTGCTATGTGTTACGTGTAGCAGCCATCATCTAACTCCCTTTTCAATGAATACACTTCATAACAATAGAACAATATTAAATACAGCCTTTCTCTGATTTGCAAACAGGGCCCAAAAGCACGTGACAATAATCCTACATCTGTCCGCTTGCATTACGGCCAGATGTTGTATTCCTACACTTTACACACAGAGCGGCATCATTAAATCATACACACAGACCAGCCTCTTCTTCACCTCGATGGGACGCGAAGGAATGGCTCACAGACGACAAATGTTCATCACATTATCTGTGTGGTGCAGATGTCGTGCCATGCACACGCAGTTCAGATGGTGAATACAAAGCGTGCTTTGTCATGAACTCTTCCAAGAAGGGCATTACTTATGGAAGCAATATAGCTTTGTCTTGCAAAACTAAAGAGTGAGAAGATCCAACTAAGAAGGCTTTTCCTCAACAACCAGAAAGATTAAATAAATAAAACACTCTCTATGCAATCTGCTATGAATGTCAGCGAACATAAAGCAAAGCCTGTCAGCTGTGCATGTAAACACACCAATGTGGCAACTGTTAAAACATTTAGAGAAGCCTTGTTGTAAGCTTTCTACTCACTGGTAGAAGTCAGCTTTCTTCACCGCCTCCTCGCACCTCTTCAGGGTGGTGCTATGTTGGTTTTGCAGCGACTGCAGGTCTGCCATCGCCTTCATGCACTGCAGCTTCAGACGCTCATAGTCATGACCTGCTTTTGAGTTTGGTCTGTGTCCCAGAGAGGATTAAAAAAAAAGAAAACAAAAGTGCATAAGAGTCACGTTAATAATATCATCTAGTTGGAGGAGACCAGCACGTCTGAGGAAACATCCTACAGACCTTGTGCTCACAGAAGAACAAAAGAAGTCAAGAGTAATTAAAAACATGCTGCAGAGGGAAACAGACAGTAAGGGGCATGTGATTAAAACACATGAGAGAACCTGCAGTCATCAAAAGTGCTTCCGGGTGAAGAGAGAGCCAGACGTTTACGCAGTTCGTCCCTCTCACGGGTCACATGTCTGAGCTGGAACAGGACCGTCTCCATCTTTTCGTTGACAGAGTGGTTGTCCATGTGGGCAGGTGGAGGAGAGGAGGCTTGAGCTGGCGTACCTGTGGGAGTCGTGTCAAATGATAAGTCAACTCAGTAGATTAACTTAGGTTTGTTGCATGGAAACATATACGCTAACTGCTGTAGTACTGCCTCTAACTATTGACTCCATGACTTCATTTATACAGTCGGAAGGATGTCACAACACAAGGAACTAGCAAATATACAGTTTATATTTTATATCTTTTCTCTCTTTTTTTGGTGATTTTTTACAAGTTGAATGCTTGTAAAACACAATTAAATCATTAACATATCACAACTCGCCGTTCTCCTTCCTCCAGTCAAAAACCATTACTAAACTGAGCTGTGTGTGTGCATGTGTATGGGTCTAAATCCTTCTCACATCTGTGTAATCACTTGCATGTGCTCAGAGTCTGAGGAGGCAGCAACCAAAGACCGACAAACCAATGGCTTGTTTAGGAAAGCGAGGTTGGCTTCTAAGCACCTCTTTCTGCTTCCTCTGACAAAGAATAGGTCTTTAGAACATTTCCTTGCTTCCACTCAACACCTGGAACACCACCACACTCACCTAAGCTGCTCAGGGAGCTGCTGCTTTCAGAGTCGGATGGCATGGTGGACAGGACACTGTAAGTGGACCCTGCAAGGGGAAGAAAAACATTAAAGTCAGCTTTGAGTGTACTCGACCATGTCTGCATTATAGCTGGATGATTATCTCCAGCATTGTACGCTACATCAAGGCTCCGCAGCTTGGGTTACATTTAGGGACCTTTGCTGAAGAAAGGCCAGCTGGAGGCATAATAAGGTGGGACTTTCCCCAACTTTGGATGACAGGGCTGACAGCAAAGTAAGGCTAATTATCAGTTGGTCAGGGAGGCTTGAATACTGACTAGCCAGGGCCCCAAAGAGGCTGCAGCCTCAGAGACTCTCCTTTTATCTCCGCTGACAACATCACACAGTCTCCTTGTGAAAGCCCCAGCATCATTTATAGCCTTCAGTGTTACACAATTAACTGTACAGAGAGAATTAGAAGGAGTACAAGTATCACACAAAAACAGCATAAAAACAATTGAGTTGTTTTTTAAAACGTGTACTCAATGTATGCGTTGGACTTTGTTGCACTCTCATGTTAAGGTCAAAATGTCAGGTTTGCACAGGAACTAGTACCATACTTTTTGTCATTCATTATGACTCCCAAGTGCAAGTCAGACTCCCCTGATGTTTTTATTTTAGCAAAAATTGAGTTATGTCGCATTGTAGGAAGGCAGGAAGTCACGTGATATTCAAAATATATCCAATCACTATGTGGACTATCAATCTGGTTACTCTATGCAAAGTCAACTTAATCCTCATCATTGAACAAATAACCAGTATGTTTCTAAAACAACTGGATGTATTTAACACACAGCAGAAGCCAAAACTAATTTTCAGGGGGGAGTCTTTATGTGGGTTGAGTATAGTGTAGTTCAATCAGCAACTTCCACCAAGCTGTAAAGTCTAACACTCAACTTGGGCATGACAAACGTTTCTATTTACCCAGGTCCCAGTCCTCTAAATCAATCCCTAGTTGGCCAAGTTCCCACTAACTAAAGGAGACCATGAGTTTGATTAAAACTGGAAGGAGCCCAGCGAACATGGCTCACCCCTCTTTTTTCCCAGCAAAGTACTGAAAGAAAAAAAAGACTGATGTGCCTCAGGAACCGTGGCATCCCATGGATCAAGCTCTCTTTGTTCTCACTCTAGCTTAAGTTTCCCATGACTCCGTTTGAGCAAAGAGTGTCTCAATGAGCAAGGTTCAGTGTGTCATAGCTCTCTCACTTTTCTGCTCTGTGAAAAAGTCATGTGACCTGGCCCTCACTGTGGCCTGACCCTCACCACTCAAGTGTCTCATCTAGGTTTATTTCTTTGCTACTAACACAGCCACACTGAACTTTTCTTCAGATCACACAAACCCTTAGTTAGAATGATACAATGAAATGGTAACATGGCATTTTTCATAAAATTGCCCCAATTTCAGGACTATAACATTTTAATTATGAATGTTATAAATATGACAACCAAGTTAATAAAACAGAATAAATAAAATACAATAGAACACAGCAGTCTATTCATGGACCACCTGTTGAGGACCCATTCCTTAAATAATACTTTGTAAAATGTGATACTGTTAATGTCACTAAGCAAATACTGTAATATTTATGGCTTTTGTCTATTCAAACAACCTCTGAGTTTGGACAATCTGTTACTTCATGTTTATCTATGTAAATAAAATTTTTTTGCAGAACAGTGGGGATACAAGTTTAATCCATTCAACAACAGCACTCGTGTGTTGATCCACTCATATCTCAATTGCATTTACTCCATTAAAAATAACTAAAAACCAATAAAGGGGTTCCAGCCCTGCAGGAATATACTATTAATTAATTAAATTACAACCCATCTAAAAATCAAAAACATATATATATATATATATATATAAATATAAAATAATACTTAAGAAAACACTATCGTTATAATAATGGGTAAAATAACCAAGCAAGGGACAGTGAGCGGGACTGCACAACAGTGTCGGGTGGGAAAATGGAGCTTGGTTGAACACTCATAACTCCATGTTTCCTTGTATCACAAGGAAAATCTTGCAATAGTTTGTTCCTAGCTTACTCGTAACTTGGAAAACTCGTATTTCAGGTAGCTCGTATCTCGAGGCCTAACTGTAACTGAGTGCTCTAATGTGGCAGTTAAAATCAGACCTTTTTTCCTCTTTCCTTCTGATTAGGATCAGTCTCATTTTGCAGTGGCACATGTGAATACGTCAGTCATGAAACACACCCTTGTGATATGGTGCTGTTCTGCTGCTCTTCTTTGAGTGGAGAATAATCAACAAAAAAATATCTGCTGTCAGGCCTGGAGTCATGCTTGTGTTAAAATGACAAACACATCTTTGTTGATTAAAAAAAGAAAAGTTATAAGTCACAATTTTAAACATCCCCTCGTACTAACAACACAGAGACATTACACTGGTGAGATCGTTTTAAACTGGGCTACACATCTCTGTTGACCTGTTTTTTTAAAGTACTGTATTGGCCACAGGCGTCTGGGGAAGCTCTCCCTTGTTAATGGAACGTTGTTTTGATTCCAAAAGGTGTTCCCGATCTATTGGCCCTTGGGATTCTGGGTGACGGGGGAGAAATGTGATCACACTACTGAAAGTGTGTATTATTAAAAAAAATAAAAGTCTGTAACAAGCTACTGTTTTCCTTGGGAAAGGCCCTTCTTTTGGCTGTGCAGTGGAGGAACCAGTCTGCCCAGTAGCAAAAAGAGGCTCAGTTCCATGTGACTACCTGCAAAGAGCTGCAGACGACTCCACCCGATGAGTCCAACCAGCCCCAGTACATGCTATAGTCCAAACAAAGTCTTCTGTTTTAGACTGCGTGTACTGCGTGTCTGTTGCGGAGCATATGTTTTGCTGACTGGACTACAGCCCCATGCTGCCTGAGAATGATAATGGTGTATTTAATGCATTAACATCACACAGAACAGTTCAAAGACTACTGACACAGTAAGTCAGAGTAGGCCATTTACTGCAATACAGGTTCAGCATGGCTAATAAAGTGTTATCGTTACTGCTATGGAACGTAATGGCAGTTCAATATGATAAACCCAGCCTTATATGACTCTAACAGCACACCAGAAAACAGATACTACCCACATCACACTATAAGCAGCCTCTGCGCTACAGTCTTTGACCAGGATATAATTAACATTCTGACCATCAGTAGTTGCTCTGTCCTGTTTTTACCCATCAGCCTGCATGATGTGTATTGTCACTAACAGTGGAGTCATAGCAGGAAGACAAAAAACAAAAACAACTACAGTGTTGTGGTTAAAAAAAACCAAATCTACAGTCTAACTTTGTTTCTTTTTTAAACTGATCTGTCGGTAAGGATTTTATGAGTTTGACCGACTGTAACAGGGGTATTTTATCACTGAGGAAAAGAGAGACACTAACACTGTTTTACAACGTTGAAAGTCGGCTTTGCTCCATACACTTGTTATTACTCACATATTAAGTGGCAATAAATGGCTGCTAAAACAGACTGCACGATTGCACCAATGAAAGCAAACACTAGTTGATTAAATATATTAAATATATTTATCTAACAATTGTACTATGTCTTTTTTGAACCAATGTATCATTTAGAAACAATAGCGTACATATAGAGTACTGTATCTGTAACTTTTTAATTGTGCTACAACAGGGGTCACTAACTATGTCTGGCAGAGGGCCAGAATTTTTCTTGAAAGGCACCTTGGGGGCCGCACAATTAAATAAAATGAAATTAAATTTTTTTTTTATTTAATATAATTCCACTTTAACTAGAAATACACATAGGCAGCAAGATCATTTTAATTGACAGTGTTGAACAAACTAAGAGATTATAATTTTAAATATAGCTTCAGCTCATTCATTTCTACAAAGCTTTAAAGTGCTGGCGTTTTTTGCACCATGACCTCATTAAAACCCACGTCCTTCATTCTCATCTGTGACTGCACACAACACAGAGCACTCAAAAGATAGTCACAGCATTGTGTGCATTAACACACTTTTAATTCTTCACCCACATTACTTATTTATTTGGCTTTGACAGTGGGTTATTGAGTCCACCACTCACACACACCGCCCCCTTTCTCCAGGCAGCACTGCTTGTCACTGCATTGATTGTGTGTTATAGTTCTGTTAAATACATCCAGAAAGGTTTTGCATTTAGCTGCGTTGCAACAGTGACAGCCACAGTAATGTGCTGTGGGTGCATGTTGACAAACATGTTCTTTATTACCTATTTAGGACCTTTTCTTGTATAAACAAGGACCAGTGTCAGGACCAGTGACGTGATAAATTCAGACACTCTTGGTATGGAATTGTGTATTTAATGTAAATAAGTACTTGCCTGAACAATAATAAATAATGTTTAAATGTAGCCTTGCTTGAAGCAACGTCAGAAATAGATGGTCATCATGGACGTTTAGATTTTGGTTAGGATGTGCATACTTACCTGTTACCTACATGTTAGGTCGTAAACACCAACTCCGTTGGGACATGCAGCCCTCATGGGGACCAGAGGTTGGTCTTAATGAGGCAGAACCTGATTTCTCACAACCTGACACTAGTGTGGGACCAAGACACAATTTGTGATTCAGTTTGATTATACATTAATAGGTTGTAAAAAAAAGCTTGGGCCTTTACCTGACTTTCTCTCTCCACTTGCACAAAATAGGAGTCATATCAGTCATACACACTGTCTCATGATCAATACTCATAAAGTCATGATGAAAGCAGCCAGCAGTTAGACCTGACTAAATCATAACCATCATCAACGTGCAACAACAATACAAATGTTTACACTCAAATACACTTTATAACTCGCTACAGCAGGATGTGGTCAAAATAAGGTAAATATATAAGCGTTGCTCACCAGTCGTGTGATCCACTGGTCCAGACCCATTCAGAAGCAGTGAGTACAGGTAAGGGTGAGTCTTCTCCAGGGCTGAACAAAACTCTGAGAAATAGTCTGTGTCCTTACTGAGCAGGATCTTCAGGAGAAGATCCACTTTCTCCGAGTTGGACGAACAGCTGTTGCCCAGCTCGTAGCGTTCAGACTGGCTGAGTGTCCCGCAGTGAAACAAAACATCCACCACTCGCTCCACGTCTGTTAGTGACTCCATTAAGTTCTGGTAGCATTTCTCCAGTAACTCTTTATGCCTGGGCTCCATCTCTGCACTCTCTCCGTGTCGCTCCTCACTCCCCCTCCACCCGCCTGTGCTTCAACCAAACCAGCTTCGGGACAAATCCAGCGTAATCTTCCTGGTAGTTAACTTCGCTTCGGACTACAGTCGAAAGAACTCCGCGGAACTCTTACGTACGGCCCGGTTGGGACGGTTCTCAACCCAAACTGAAGGATACACAAGAAGTGGCCATATTTGTTGCCCAAGGCTGTTGACTACACGGAGATGACAACACATTTTCCCAACGAAGCTCCTACTCCGTCCTCGTCGGGAAAAAGACAAAAACACGTCCCTGTCGTTTAAGGCCCCACTGTGTTTACACTACAAAGAATTATTCTTCCTGAAAGTAAGTTCTCTCGACATGCTGGAAAGTGTAGAAACTCCTGAGGAGCCTCCTCCTCGAGACTACAAACTCCGCCATGACTCAGAATCGCAGCTGAAGCCTGTGCCAATCATAATTCCGTGCCTTGGACATTTAAGGTAAATGTGGGCGGGGCTTTGTTTACCTGGCTCCTTCACTGTAAAAGTCACAACAAAAACAGTTAAGTACTTCTGCTAATACACGAGATATAAATGTATACTTCCACCACCCGTATTAATTTATACAGGATAATTTGTTTGCGTTAAAACCGCCCAGTACTTTGCCACGCCACAAATATGCGCAAAAGAGATCAATATAAATAATAATATTAACATAAGCATTTTTGTCCTTTCAAAGCTACCATCACATGAAGTGCAGTCGTTCTCAATATGTGGTACACGTACCACTGCTTGTACTTGGGCTTCCTCTTGTAGTATGCAGGATATATATATATATATAGTCCGAAGTGTGCGAAAGTCACCTAGCTTAACAGATAACCACTGCATTAGTGTGTGGTTTCAGTTGGATTTAACCATCGATTACCAAATTCACAATAAATTGCCACTCTGCCATATAGTTAGCTTTGGTTGATAAATAATCTAGTCATTAGTAATTAGGAATAAATTCATATCTTCTGATACTGTGCTACTATTTCAATGTTGGTCATACTCCTTGTACTTGATGAGCAAAATTCTTTTAAGTGGTACATAAAATTTAATGTAATGCATGCTAGACGTGGTAACTGATGACTACACTAGTTATTATGTTTGCAGAACAGCAAGAGTCATTTGCTATACATATGGAGAAAGAGATATATATATATATTTGTAATAAGATAAATAATTTTCAAAACATCAGCATCCATCTCTTTTAGGAGCAGACTCCATACCTCCACATTGTATAATGGTCTGCTCCTCATCTGTATTGTCCCGTGACAAATCTGACCCGCTTTGTGAGCTTTCTTCTGCTCCACATAATCCTTCAGGTCTGACAAGAGGCAGGCGTCAGCACAACACTGATATTCTGTAGATAGAAATGATCAAACAGCAGACACAAAAATCTGTACACTCGTACTGTATCTTGTAATAGAGCTGTTCTAGCAAAATCCCAAAGCAAGAAAACAAAATAATTCAAGCAACTTTACCATAACTGCTTGTCGGTGGTCTGCATTTCCAAGGGGGTGGGGGGCTTAAGTATATTGCAGACTGTGACTCTAATTTGGAGCTAGGTGGAGCCTAGCTCTAAAGCTCAGTTTTGTACACAGTGTGCTTATACATTTCTCTTGAAACAGCTTTAACCATGTCAATAGTTATGTAACCAGACTATAAAAAACCTGGACATTTATTTTGTACATATCACAGTATTCCAAAACATGGGCTGTTATCCACTAACAGTTTTATTTTATATTATTTAAAGGATTACTTCTGGCAGTACTGCTGCTCATTAAACAACCGTTTGATTACACAAATCATCTGAGTTTTATTTGCTTGTTTTATCAAAATGAGATACCGGAGCACAAACTGTACTGGGTGCAGCTCTGCTGTTGACTCTGCTAATGATTTCTCGTGCTTCATCTCATTAGGTGTTGTTGATCTAATCCCCACGTTTGTCATTTGCTTACATGAAGTTTTAAGCAGGATTATGTCTCAGGCAACCAAATGTCACTGTGCGTCACTCATTTGAATCTATTTTCAATCCAGCAAAATACATTTCTTGTACATCTTTATGTAAGTCTTTGTTGTCATGTGTAAAAACTGTTTCAGGTGTGTTATATGTGTATATATATATATATATATATATATAAATAAAATCATGTTTTATACCAAAATGTTATACATCTAGCTTTATTGACTCTGCATTGCCTACTGGATATAAATTGCAACACATGAGAGATGCTGGAGTCCACAGTTTATCACAGGAAAGGCCAAGGTAATGTTCTTCCATGGTACTGAGCTTGCAGCTACCAGTCATTTGTGTGGCTACATTTCTCAAAATCAAGTACTTAACTAATTATGCAACATGATATTGCTGCTGAATGCATGAATTTAGTGGAAACTGTAGGTGTTCTATAAGTACAGAGAGGCTGCACCACCCAAATATTGAGTCCAGGTGTTAATAATTTAAGTGCCTTGTCTTGGAATCTGGAACAGAGATGTGTGTACGTGTGTTCTGTTTTGTCTCTAAATGCAAAAAGCCGGGAAAATGGAAAGGTACCTCCCTCTGAGATTTCCTTTTGACCTATTTATTTTAAGGGGTATCAAGAGGTCTCCACTGGAAAAATGCACAAATACCAAAGTAAAATATTAATTTCTCTCCATTCCTCAGCTAATGGAAGCTTTTCACATTTCCATGATATGAGAAGGGGGGGGGGGGGGGGGGGAGGGGGGTTGGCGCGTGCTAATNNNNGGAGGGCGCGCGTATTGGGGGGTTTTTGCAGTACTAAAACTAAGACCGTGTAATCCGTCACCCCTTTGCGGTGCTTCTTCTGCTGCACTCTGAGGCCATTGTGTGGCCCAACATGAACATTATTTATAGCTTTGAGAAAAGCTCTCCGTGCCATATCACTGCAGCTGCTGAGCAAACCTGAACATTTCCCCCTCTCTGATTATACAGCCTTACAGACACACGCAAGCAATACTTATGTAAGCCACATTACTAACTCCTTTTTAGCATTACATCCAGCTTCTGAGACTTCAGCGCACAGCGTTTGCGTTATACAGGCCAAGGTGATGAAATTGAGACTCTTTCATATGCGAATTACTCAGGCCGGCTAAAAAAAGACATTAATGAAAAAAATCTGGAAGATTTAATTAATGCAAAAAACACGGCCGCTGTTCAAAAAGACGACCCAGGTATGCAAAATTGTTTTTATTGCAATATAAAGTAGCTGTTAGTGATGCTCTCTCCGAGACGTGGCAAATGAGTCAGGGCTAAAAAGGCATCTGGTATCATGTTATTAGGATCATTGCAAACTACAGTTAGTACATTATTTCTTCAGCTGTATGCCAAAAACAGACCAGTAAGCACAAGATTAACAAAGACGAGGGATGGCACTTTATGTGAGTCAAGCGCCCTCTAGTGGTGCTTGATTCACAATGATACGACTACATTTTGTCACTTGCCCAGTGAAGCATTAGCTGTCTTTGAGAAACTAAAGGCACAAAATCTATGTAGAGGCTTTGGTTTTACCACATTCAGTGAAAAAGGTAACACTGTCATTACATGTACAATGAACAATGGTTATACGGTTTTAAACTGTAAACAATGTTGAATTTCAATGCTAACGTAATGGAGGGGAAAGGCAACTGCATAGACGTTTAAGCAAGAATAGAGTCCCAACTAGTTAACTTTTGAGGATCGAAGACAAGCTCTGTGCACATATAGCATATATTTAGAAGATTTTCTATCAAGTCAAAATTGCATTTAACAAACATGCATTTTAGTTGGGATTGATTTAGATACATTTTTTCTGAAAGGTGCTTCACATTCTTAGAAACAAGGTATTTGAAATGTTGACTTTTTTTTAAATAAACCATTTTAAAAATGACACTTTTTACACATAGTTCGTGTAAAAGATAAATGACCTAATGATTTGGCCCTGATCGATGCTCATCAAGCTCTTCTCTGCTTACATAATGATTTACACCATTGTTATAGATAGCTAATTCTATTTCGATTGATTTGGAAATGTTGATACTCTGTAAGATTAATAAAGCCATATATTTTGTAATTGTAATTGCCAATTTTACACTATATATTTACTAATTGGCAACCATAAACTAGCAAAATAAATCTACGATGTCAATAAAGATTATAAAAAAAAGTAATGATTTACTTTATGTTACAGGACGACTTTGATTATCTGCATGCATCAGAGGTGATATAAAGTCCTGTAACATTGCTTCAGTGTGGACACATATGATGTCCTTAGGAGTGGTAATGGTCTCGACCTTTTAGTCATTACCCCCGCACAGCTTCAGTAGCAACTTCTTGTAATCTCCAGAGGTGTCACCCTGTGAGAAACAGGATGAGGTTATTAATGAATCACAGGAGGGGGGCTTTAATAGAACAGTAACACAACAGGCCTGACTTACTGAGATGTGAGTGTAGAGAGATTTTCCATATTTTTGCAGATACTCTCGTCTGATGTCCAGCATGTCAACCTCAGAGCGGGACACCATGATGCGGATGAGGGTTCTGTCTTTGGTCCCTGCGCCCTGTCAGAACGACACAATATAATGAATATCGAGGCGAGGAATCATTTCATTAGTTCCTCTGACAAAAGAGCATTTTCCTTTATCCTGCAGACAAACCTGCATAGCTTTGTGGAGTCTCTCTGCAAAGTATCCAGGGGTGTTCTTGATACATCTCACTAAAAGAAAATAAGATGACACATGGAAAACAGCAGAATGTTTTTGTCAGCAGCAAATATGAGGAAGACTTAAACTTTACTACCGTATTTAAAATAACTTTCAGATTTGTCAGGAGAGTATATAAAGACCCGGAGAGCATACCCACTGCCACCATGCCGTCCTCCACATTGCCAGACATTTCCCTGCAGATACTCTTCTCAATGTCTCTCCCGCACATTTGCTGGTACTCCTGGAATACTAATGTGGACAAAAAACACATGCAAAATAGTTGTAGTCATAATATTTAAAAAAAAATGCAAATCTGTTATGTTAAGGAAAACAGGACGTAAGGACAACACACCTGCACGGAGGTGAGGCTTGCTGCGAGCACAAAGAATGGCATTGAACTGAGACTCATCGGTTCCCACTTTATTTTCTCCAGCAGCATAAAGTTTCTGTTGTGTGAAGCGCAGACACACAATCACCTTAATGAAGCTAAAATAGTTCTAAGTTAGAAGAATGTACAACACCGTGTAGTCACCAGTACCTGAGCATCCTGTTTCGCCAGAGAGACATCGACGTTCTGCCTTTCATCACGATTACCCTATAATCAGTAACAAAAAAAAAACTTCATGTTATATTTGTTTATGGCAAAAGTCAACACACAACGACAAGTATATATTTCACATAAAATACCTGAGAGAGAGAAACCAGGAGTCGGCGGAAGTGGCCAGATGTGTCGCTGTTGATGGCGTCCTCCAGGCTCTTTCCGTACTCTGTAAAGCAGGTGATGATAATAACAACAATCTCTTCTGTCCTTTCGAAAGGTAAATCAATTTGCCTTGAAATAACAAATCAAAATTTGTTGTTTTTGTGACTGAGAAATGTAATTTGGAATTAATTTTGTCTTAGTCTAGAAGTGAATTAACTTGTAAAGTTAAACTACAGTGAATGTGTATGAACGTAGAACTGTGAATGCAGTGGAGTCACAGCAAATGGTATCACAGCCTAATGTTTTTTTTTTTAAATGAACTCCTCAATATTATTGTCATATGCAGAGCCTACCAGACTTGTAGATTTTAGTGATTTCTTGAATCTCTGCATTGGAGCGTGAGGACAGAATCTCAATCAGACATGCTTCGTCAGTTCCGGCTCCCTTAAAAACAAGGACCGTCACAAACAAAACTTGAGATTGCAAATGGTCATGAAATATGGTCTGACATCCAGGGTTTCTTCTGGCTCTTATTTCCCTAATGCTTAATGAGTCACACAGTGTGGTTTGAAGTACAAACCCAAAGCTATAACATCTACTGAACCAAAATCAGCTCCCAAACCTTTATGGCTTCTCTGAGTTCGGATGCATCAAAGTGCACAGGGCTCATCAACATAGCAAGAACCAGATTCTCAAAGTTTCCAGTGAGCTCAGACTTCAGATCACGGATTAAATCCTGCGAAGGGGAAAAAAAATTTAAAAACACTCCCCCAAGAATGAATGCGTGTGAAAGCCACACAAAGCAATTACAGCTGTTGAAGTCAAGCTGAGCACAAACGAAACAAACCTTCCCATAAGTAGTTTTGTAGGCAGCCACCATTGGAACCCTCTGCTTATTGGAACGACTGCCCAGAAGTTCAACAATAGCATTTTCATCAGTGCCTGTTTAGATGGAATTGTTTTACATTAATTCATTTTGAAGGGAAAAGGGAAAAACTGAACTGGTTTTCTATTGATCATTGACATATGATGTGTGTGGCCTAATAATATGAACTCACCAAAACCCTTCATAGCCTTTCGAAGAACTTCAACATCTCTAAGCGGATCCGCCCCAGCAAAGTCTTTAATTGAACCTCTGTATCCTTTCTGTACAATACAAAAAAATAAAAAACTGTGTCACATTAGTCTATAAAAGTAGCCAATGAAGGGCTTTAAATTAAAGAGTAATTTACAGGAATGGCAGGGGCCTGAGGGTTGGATGGAACTCCACCCCCATATGCAGGCATTGAGGGATTAGTAGCGGGGGCACCAGGGTAATTTGGCATGGGTTGACCTGGTGCAGGGCCTCCTGGGTAACCAGGCTGAGCGCCTCCTGGCTGTAAACAAAGCATCAGCTGTAAGTTCTAAATATATGAAGGCAAACTTTTACACAGAGTAGGACAAAGTTCAAGAAGGGCTGGTTATAGATAATGTTATCAGCAAATAAAAGCTTTGCTAAATTTAGCTGTTTACTGTTAGGTTAAAGAAAGAAAAGTTAAAGAAATTATTATTACATACAGGGCCATAACCGCCCGGTGCTGCACCCCAGCCTCCACCTGAAAAGAAAACATTGATAAATTAACCTCAGTGGGCGTCTGTTATTTTTCCACAGCTGTCAAAGATTCCATCATTTTACCTCCTGGTTGCATGGAAGGATAGCCACCTGCCCCAGGCTGTGGATATCCTCCTGCCTGTGGAGGAAAGCCTCCACCTGGGGCAGGATAACCTCCTGCTGCAGGATAACCACCAGCAGGAGCTGGGTATCCACCTGACTGTTGAGGGTAATAGCCGCCTGCTGCTCCTGGGTAGCCACCTGCTGCTTGCGGGTAGCCCCCTGGCGCAGGGGGATAGCCGCCTGCTGCAGGGGGATAGCCGCCTGCCTGAGGTGGGTATGTTCCTGGTTGAGGTGGGTAGCCACTTGCCTGTGGTGGGTAACCACCAGACTGAGGAGGGTATCCTGGGTAGCTCATCTTCAAAAGCTGGAAATAACAAGATGCTTTACTTCAGTGGACTTACAAGTGGTCAATTACAAAATTAAAAGATGTGTAAAAGTAAGGATTTTAAGGATAAACACATTTTTAGAAAGTAAGAAAACATTGACTGTTGTAACTGCACAATAAAAGCTCCCCTTGTGTTACTGATTCGTATTTACATTCAACCTGGAGGTTTAATTTTTATTACAAAATTAATATATTTTATGATAGGTAAAAGTTGACATGTCATTTTATGGTTAAGTTCATATTATTTATTTTTTTAGCCAACTGATTTAACAACTTAAAATTGTTACACAGTTAACAGTAGTATTTACTTATAATTTAGCTACTTATCTACGTGTACATATACAAGAAACGCCCAACAAAGTGACGTCAATGTTACATTTAACAACTAAGTGAAAACGATTTATGTTACTATGGGGTCATAGTCCCCACGAATGACTCTGTAGTCAAAAGAATACATACCTTAAGGAAATAAGCATCAGTTTAACTATTTAGACTGAATAATTGGGGTGGGAAACGTATGCCATTGCGGTATTTTGTATTAAACGTCTTGAAAGGTTTCCCCTTGTTGACACTCCCTTGATGCCGTTTTCCTTTGGACCCATGGAACGAATAGTGTTATGTTCAGTGTACTCGGGGAAAAAAAAACTCTCAAATTTTGACCCAACCATTTAAAATTACAATTTTAAATGTTTGGGTCATTGCTCATCTTTTAAAGGATTATGCAGAAATCCATGACGGAAAATATTCTATATTACTTTATTCCTAAAAGGTAGTAATAGTGTTTGACAATGCGAGGACTTACAAGCAGTGAGCCTTTAACACCGCCTGTCACATGCTTGTAGATTTCGCAATAAAAAAATTAAGAAAAAAACCCCCCACAAATGAGGACTTGAGTATAACTTCAACACTTTCTAGATGGAACTCATAACATGCTAAAGCAGAAATATTATCATATTTAAACGTCCTGTCCGGAGATTATGCAATTTCCCATGACAAGAAACGCATCAGAAAAACCACTGGTGTGCTTCGAGCATCACAGGCCTACTGCGCGTTTCTGCAAACTAGCATCAAGGCTAATAACAGCTAGGTTACATAAGCACAATTATCACACAGTTAAAATGAAGCAATATTGGAGAAACCCCCACGACAGACGGATTTTAATCAAATACTACGCATGTGATTTATATCTAACGGTCGCTTGTTGTTGTCCAGACACGGTTTAACTACTCGACAGCGGGTGTGTCTATTTAATTAAACGAAGCTAACTCCCAACTAAAAAAAAAACCCATAATATTTACCTGCGTAGTATTAAGTAAAGCAATAAAAACTCCACGTGTTATTAATTTGCCTTAGCGAAAAAACAAAATCATTTACTAACTTACCCTAAGGAGACGGAGTTATATCCAGGAAGAGACGAGTAGTTAAAGCAGGCTGTAGGTGGGTGGGTCCTCAGCCTGGATGTTTCCGCCCTTCAGTCTTCAGTCATAACCTTTGCTCAGTTAAATGTCCACTGCCATGGACAACGGTTTCTCATTGTTCCCAAAATAACAGGAATGTACCTACTTACCACCGCAGTTTACATGGCATATATGGAGAGGGTTCGCCAGTCATTTGCAACAACTGATAAAAGTTTGGTAAACACACTTGATTATGAAACTTGAGCAGGGGTCTCCAATCGGTGACCTTTGTGCAACATACGGCCTCTTTGCAATGTTTGCTGCAAGATAAATATCTTGTCTCATCCACCAGCATTATAAAAACATATCAGATAGAACAGAGCTGTACAAACATTGAAATGATACCAATTTTTCATGTGACACTAAACTTTCAGCTTGATGACAAGCATTCTCTCAATACCAGTTTGTGATAGTTACTCTCTTTGTGTTTGAATTAATTATTACCTGCATGTGGAAGTCTGCGTCTTTTGGTAGAACAGGTTATGCAACAATAAATTGGCAACAGCGTTCTTGTTGTGCTTTCATATTAATCTGTAGTGTAACTACATGCTTGAAGCATAAACAACAGGTTTACAGTGGGATAGCCATCATTAATATGGTGTTTGAGGCGCTTTCTTGATTTATTCAGCTGAAAATCAGAAAATTGTAGTTTTCAGTAACTCTCTAGGCATAATTTAACAGACATCAAACTCAGACTGTAACAGGCTATGGATTTCATTTTCAGGAATGCATTACTATCACTATCAACAAAATAACACTAGAGGGCAGCATTGTACTATAGATAACATAAAATATGGACTAATGCTGGACTGCGTTAGATTTAGTTAAAACTAATAAATTCTATCGCTGTAAAATTAAAAATTAAAATACATACATACATATAGGGTTGTATAGTGAGGGTCTTTATTGTCAACATTTTACCGTAATTTACAACGTAAGAAAACATAAAGAGACTTCACCAGCAAAGGAATTCTTTGTGCACAATGTTAACAACAAAGAAGAATAGCATCAAATTAGATTTAATTGTGCAAAGTGTTTAAGAGGATTGAAAGTAACTGAAGACTATTTAAAAAGTGACCACTGAAGGAAAACATATATATCCAGACACCCTATCGCTCCTATGGAATTAGTTTGTGGGCATGGAGAGGAATAACAGCAGATTGGACCTCCTATCTGCCGTGACGCAACTCCTCGTCCTGGCTGAAGCGCAGTTCCAACTCCAAACTCATATTCACAGTCAGGCTTTTGCGCCTAATGCTTTCTGTGCGTTCCGGAGCTGTGGTCCTGAATGACTCCTCCAGTTAAAGGCAAGGATCACGGCCATCCTGCAGAGAGTAAGGGGGATGACAGTTAGAAGTTGGGGAGTCCAGACAATCCGGCGGTTCTTCTGACGGTGCAGCCCTCCAGCAACAACATGATGTCCGCTATAGAGACCGGTACTGCCATGTACCAACCTGCACAGCTGCTCAACTGGGTTTACATGTCCCTGCAGGACACACAGAGCAACAGCTTCGATGCGTTCAAAGACGAGCCGGATCCTTTCCAGGACTTGAATAACTCTAAGCGCAGCGCAGCTGATCTGAGCACCAACTATCTCAACAACTTCTTCCATCTGAGGAGCGAGGTTCGAACCCTAACGCACTGCATGTCGGGCTTTGCTTTTTTTTCATTGCATTGCTGCAGCATGTCACATCTCACACCCCTGGAGTGTGCAAAAATAGCATAGAATAATATTTAACTTTGGGATATTCATCTAGCTCACAGAGTAAAACTCACCTGCATACCTTCACTAGGTCACACTGTGGCAAGTGGGCAGCCTATGAATATGTGTTTTGTACACTGGCATAGTGGCTGAGTGTGTTCACAGTGATTTTTGGTGTGTGCAAAAATGGTAGGTTGAGAAAAGCCTCTCTCCAATTATAAAATTGTGAAGGTTCACTCTGGTTGGCCTCTGCTTGGTCAGGGATGTATGCAGTTTCAAGTCAGTGGGGGGTTCCTGTTGCTTAACCCAATGCTGTCCATTTTAAGATGAACGTCAGTAAACATACAGTAAAAAAATGTGTTTTTATGTATAGAAGGTGGCAACAAAACCACATTGAAATTGAATAAATGTAAGTGTTGTTCAGTACGGTAGAAGACTGGATAGGGCTTGTGCCTTACCTCAAAAAGAGCAGCGCTCAATCCCTAGTAGTAACTGATCATGGTGCTGTATGGCGTTTACATGTTCCAGCCATGTGTGCATGTTACTTTGACACTCATGACAGGTATGAATGAGAGTGTAAACATACTGGTACTGGCTCCATTTCCCCTCACAAGTTTACCATTACAGAGGTAGCCAAAGAAATAAAAATGCATCCAAAGATTTAGAATTTAGTTAAATTTGGTGATAAATTATAATCAGATTACACTGTGTCATAATAACAATAAAAAAAAGCAGCATTTAATGACAAACGTTTTATACAGCGACTACAGATATGCAGTAGCTATGCAGTGGTCATTGAGCCTCACCCATAGCATGTCCCCTCCAACATATGTTTGTATCGGACCACAATTGGCTTTCTGTGATGCCTTCAGAGTGAAGAGTCTGCAGGCTGTTCTTCATGTTTGCCCTGTGGTGCCTTAGCACCCGTCTCCTCCAGAGACACAATAATGGTGATTGTGTTGTGCCAATAGCACCAATGGGAATAATACACGACAAAGACATTCTGTCCTGATGAGGAAGCGGACACCACTGGCGTCCAGAGTAGATGTGGTGAAGCTAGCACGTCTTCAAGAAATGTAATAAAGTCAGCTTCTGTCAGGGAGACAAACAGGCGAATCAATCACTATGATGGACTGACGAGCTGCTTTGAATGCTCATTCATCGCAGGGTCACAACAATGTTCATCTTTGTTTTTGGTCACAAAAGAGATACTCTTGTGTAGGAGCTAAAAACACGAGATAATATCAAATGTATATATTTAATGTGTATTTTTAACACATCTAATATTCTGGAAGTTTAAAATTGCTTTGCTTTAGGTTTTCTATTTACATATTGACATTAAGACTGTTGGTTTACAAAACTATTACATAACATTTTACACACATTATTTACTAAGGGATTCAACATGATAAAGTTGAGCGTAGAGAGGTATGTTATAATGATGCAGTACTGTAATCTGATCCTCTAATCATATCCCAAACCAGTCGTTTACCATCCTGTGTTTTTTGCAGGCTTTAAACAACAATTTCTACAAGAACTCTTCACCCTATGGATCCATCAACAACATAGTGGACGGCTTGAGCGCCCTGGCAGACCATTTCTCCGACCTCTCCCTGTCACCAGAGACGCGCAAACCTAGCAAAAGGCCACCGCCCAACTACCTGTGCCACCTCTGCTTCAACAAAGGCCACTATATCAAGGACTGTCCTCAGGTGAGCTCCAGCAGGGATGCTGAAGTCAAGTCAATACAGTCCTTAGCTAATTTGGCTCCTCCTATTTAAAAATAATAAAAGTGGAAATTCCATGTCAGAATGTAATATTTATATTTCTTTTTGTAGTATGAAATAGATTCCTCAGCGTGTACTTGAGGTAGATGTTCCACTGCAGGTTTGTAATGAGCAGCAGATGGCAGATTGGATCTCTGAGCAGGCCCCGATGAAAGACGATAGGTTTTCCTGGGGAACCAAGCCCGACCTCTGCTCCAAACCAGAGAGAAGAATTACCAGTGCACTATGTGCAGCTGGGCCATTCCATTGATCACATCCAGGGGGGAAACGCCTGACATTTGTTAGGTGTAATGAAAATAATCAAACAATAATTGACAGGGTGTGTCCAAAAGGAAATGTCAAAAGAGTTGACATTTTAAAAGTTGATAAAACCTCAATAGGCAATTCTACAAACTTTTAAATGTTAATGCATGAACGTAACACCGGAGAAAGTGGGAGCATGCTTAGTTGCATAGACGATAAAGTGAATACTTTAATCCGCAGTTAATTTTATGTTCAAGAATTAGCCATGCTAGCTGCAGATAAGCTAACCAGCTGAAGGCTTAAGAGGTTATCTTTGTATATATTGTATGCACATTCACTAATTAAATCAATGTACGTATCTATTTTTATTAGCTCCATTAATGCCTCTTAAAGAATATAAATTGGAGGTCTATAATGGTGGTCAGCTGCCTCTAGAGGGTCCTCAGAGGTACTGCATGAGGGTGATGTGTCAGTATTTTTTCTTTTTTTTTTTTTTTGCACAGTTCAATAGCTTAGTACGGAGCCCCTGAAGGCACATGGGAAAAAAAGGAATGTTTCTAGTGAGCACAAGGTACTTTTTTATGCTAACCAGGAAGTATCTCATGCGCACCAGAAAGTATTGCATGTGCACGTGATGTCTGGGAGACCATCCACTACATATGAACATGAGATACTTTCTGGGACGCACAAGAAAGCATCTTGTGCTCACTAGAAATGTTTCTTTTTTTTCCCATGTCCCATTAGGGGCTATGTAGCTTAGCTTGCGAAAACCCATTCTATCAGTGAGGGTCCTTAAAAAACAAGAGCCATGGTTTAAATACATAAGAATATAGAACAAGGATACTGCAGCTGATTGGTTTGTACTGGACCTGTACGGACAGGAAATTGTCACAGCTCTGTAGAGTGAGGAGTCACACAGGAAGTGGATGTGAGGGGACTTCCAAAGTCTCTCTCAATGAATGGAATGGGGCCCATGTCAATTCTCAAAGTCGTCTTTGATAAAGAACCACATGGCTCTTTAATTGAAGCCTAAGGTAATTAAAAACAACAAAGGAGACGAAGTGTCAGTCCACACATTTGAGGTCTGAGATAAAGTATCCCTGCTGTGCTCTGCAGGCCAGCGGCGAACACCCTGTTGACAGGCGAGTGGAGAGTTGGGTTACTTGCTTCACTGAGGGGGTTAAGATGTCAACGGATTACTCTCTGATATTTACGGTTCTTCTTTGTGGTCATTCCCCTTCATATTGTTGAAAAATCTGGAAACCATTTCTACTGGCTGGCTCTGCTCTGCTCTCACTTCACTTCAGGAAGATGATGTCAGAGTTTGTCATGTGTTGCTAATATTCCTGAAACAAAGCAATTTACATTACAGAGCTATTGTCAAGACAACAGGCAACTCCGATTAAAATAGGGATGATTGTTCTGTCAAAGTCGTAGCACGTACTACACCAACTGGGTAATCCCATTTTTTGCAAAACAAAATAAAGCAACACCGTGAGTTTGAAGCCTTTCATCCAGAACGGGCTAAGTTGAACACAGGTTCATGCAGTGGTACTGTGCAGACAGTAACTGCGCATATGATGGTGAAGAAGTCTAAATAAGTAGAGCACTGTACCTCCAAAGGGTCTGCAGAACTAGAGGTCAAGAGGTCATGCTGCATTGTTCACTCGCCTGTGCTTGGGTGCAGTCAACACCCCACTCTCCACTCTTCCTGTGTGTAAAGCAAATCCTTTTTGGACTGATATTCCTCAAAAGCAGCTGTTTGGAGATGCCTTTATCTAGAGTGTGGTTTTGGAGACAGAGGAAAGGGCAGCGAGTGGGTGTCTACAGTTATAGTTTAAGTCATGCTAGAAATGATGCTTAGCCACACGGCTGTCAGGGGGATTTTCCTTTAATATAGTCTTTGAAAGCTGAAACAAAGATAGCTTTTGTCTGAAAGGGCTTAAACTCTATTAGGGGAATCCAACCTCCAATGAGGTCTTAGACTGTGTATTGTGGTTTGCCAATAAGAGTCACACTTTTCACAGTTTTCAATCATTATATTAATGATTGACAACAGTGCTGAGACAATAAAGCACTGTAAGTCGGGCTGACAGACGGAAGAGTAGCATGGGATTTATAATAAATGACGTCATAAATTGACAATCCTAATTCTGAGAAAATCAACACGAAATTGAATGTGACTTCAGTCTACAGATCCTGATGCTTGTTTGTTTGTTTAGTTTCTTGATGAATTTATTTAAAACTTAAGCTTCATCTTATCTTAGCATCACACAAATACAGAGAGACTTGATTGACATTTTAAAAATGAATACTGAGCAACTGACTGAATAACCTCCATAAAGGGAGCCACAGGGAGTACGATAGTGTTTAGGGGCTTTGTGTTTTATTACAGGAGGCCTGCAGTAATTATCTCTTACCTCGATGAGTGATCTCACAGTTTACAACACGTCTCTGCTGATAATGTTATCAACGCAGCTCTACAACAAGACGGTTATGATTCTGTTTGGGGCAATAGAGTCCACAGCCAAATATGTAGCTGGTGAATCTCAGGCAACACTCTGGTGATTCCATCAGCTTTGGTCTTCTCGTTTTCACCGCTGATAAGTGTCTTATCTGTCTTCAGGTTACCGTCCATTGTTTTTGGATGCCTCCTCTTCTGAGGAGGACTGGCAAGATAGAGGAGACCCTGGAATGTGTGTGTGTATTAGGTGAAAGTTTGGCACAAATGTCCCAGTCTTTACTAGTCTTCACTTTTCTGCGTTATTTGGTTCCACTCAATATATCATCTGTATAGAATTCTTGTTGTCAATATTATTTTTTCGGTGGATTTGAACCCTCTGCCAAACAAACTGGTTGTTATTTTTCTATGCTAAGATTTTAGGATGGCACTTCATAACACAAATGTCTGTTCTCAAAAACTATTGCCTCTCCTGCTGGATGTTAAAAAGTGATCATTTTAATGTAAACACTACAACTGGGGTTTTCAATGATTTTTTTTTTTTTTTAAATGAAAATAATGCGTCTCCTTCTATAAGCTGATCCTGCTTCTCTCCCCAACTCTGACTTGCTGCAGTTCTGCCACTGACTGGGTGTAGTTTTACAGTAAGCTTTTTAACCAATTAGCATCCCAATCAATCCCATTTTAATTACTAAAAGAAAAGTAAAGAAAATCAGTGAATATTGTTTTTATGCTCTTTAAGTGGATCAATGAATGTAAATGAGGGGATTTTGAAATTTTCATAGAAATGTGTGTACAGTACAGTCTACCTTTAATGGTGTTGGTGTAGATTTGTTTTCAGGCCTGCTGAGTTCATATACCAGTGGTCATCATCTGATGGCCCACGGGCCAAATCCAGCCAGCCAAACCATCCATTCCGGACCACGACTGGATTCTAAACTAAACATCAAATAATAATGTTAGACAATAATGTTAGCCTTGTCTTATATAACGGTACTAATCTGTTGACTTTATCGTACCAATAGTGAGAATAAACCCACATGTTGGTTGTAAGTGACCTCCTGGGAACCTGAACATCACTTCCACTGAACAACTAACCATCTCAGGGTTTACTCCACACTGCATTAGGAGGATTTAGTTTTCTTGACCGTGTTCCAGTCTCTTTGCTGCATTTGTGTTGGCCTGGCGTTCCGCCTGTGCCTGTCATTCACTCGCTGTGAAACGTAAAGCCAGTTTACAGCTGTATATGTCATCAACTGCACCACAGCCGTGACTGGAGCTCAGTTGCTCTCCGCGGTGTATTGGTAAATATTTCCTGTATGAAAGCAGTACTTTGTGTGAAATAGAGGGTGAGAGATGTGATATATGTGACCGTGTGGGTATAACTCTTCCACTTTAATGGTCGTGTACAATCTCAACAATGTATTTGAATGAACACCGAAAAACCCGACAGTCATGGAAAAAAAAACAAAAAACAAACTGTGTGTGCTTTGGCCTCCAGTTGTTTGCGCCTGATCATATTTATCTTACAGGAAGAGAGAGTTAATCCACTCAGTGTTTCACATGTGCCAGATTTACACAGCGGCCATCAGGAAGGATCACGGCTTCACGCTGCTACAGGAGTCATTTATTGCGTAGATGTTTCTATAAGTGGAGCGGTCGGCCCTGATGAATTCTGGGAGAATAGGAAACACCATTGTGTAACACAGGACATCAGTCTGCTGCCACTGGCTGGGGAGCGTCTTGTATCTGATTTCCTCGAATCATAGCTCTGGGGTTTGTGCTTATAATCAGTGGTGGTAATGTTGGTCGAGCAGCTTTGTGTAAGAACACTCAGGAATGCTGAGCTCAGCACCAACGACATAGCGAGAAGGGAAAACAATAGCGTGCTGCTAGTTCTAGTACTCCGCCGTCCTATACTGTACACAGTAAGACTGACAGGCGTAGTATTTCTTAAATAAATAGTTCAAACAAGGCCACAGAGAAATGAGACGGCAGGTTGAGCAGCTTACTGGCAGAGCATGAGGAATTCACTCCTAATGTTTATAAACAAACAGCATGGAACTTCCCCTGCCTGCTCTACAGGGGGTAGTATAAACACTGTTTCAATGCCCTGGTCTATGTCATGATTAATCTGCTGCAGAATTACTGTTTAAAATCAAACTTGGCCTTTAAAACATTTAGTCCTGGATACTAGCGACTGCGAAAGTCAGCTCACGAAACACATTTCCAAACACCAATCAGTATCTGGGACCTACTCATGCTATACATTTTTCACTAAAACTGTTTTCTTGCCCTAAACTCCTTTGATTTTGTTCTGTAGCAAAGAAAATATTTCACATTGAAATTATGTTTTTTTTTTTTTGCAGTGTACAGTAGACAGAGTAAAAATGAAAATGCATTTGGCTACATTTTATTAAGATTTATTAGTTGCAGTGGTGGTTTTAATTCAAAGCTCAGCTGGGCTAATCTTTGGTCTGGATTTTAAGAGCTCTGCATCCCTTGTGTCTCAGATAAGAAATTGCAATTCAAAACACTGAGAATGGTTTTCAACTTCTCTCGTAAAAGTAGACAATGTCTGCTGTTGTATTTTCTAATATCTTGTTCCAAGACTTTGGTTCTGTTTAACAACAAGAATACAAAACAGAGCCCTCATCTTTAACGAATACCGTGTGGAATATTGTCAACATGTGTCAGTAATTCTTCCACTTCCCTCTTGATGATATACGTATATAATCATCTATAAATAGCTCTAGATAGAATGGCTGGCTTTTAATTAAAACAGATAGTCCTGTTGCCCTGGTCTAAACCCTGCTGGGACAGTTGTTTTTGTTAGATGAATTGATAGAAACTGTTTGCTGAGTGACATTAAAGTTGTTACATGACTTGTTGCAGTGCTGTCTATGGGCATTGTTGTATTGTTCTGCCTTGCTTTGAAGAGTCTGGTACAAATGGGATGCAGCCCAGAGATGAGAGCGCTGTGGGTTTGTCATTGTGGAGTAATTGACCCCATGTCCCGTGGGGCGGAGGGGGTGGGGGGTGGGGTGGTATGAACGTGGGGGTAGAGAGTAACTGAAGGAGGAAGAAAGTAGAAGTGAGAGGTGGAGGAGGGGGGTGAGGGATTTGGAGAAGTCCATTGTTTATCCTGATGGATTCCAGATGATGGCAGAAGGACTCAGCCAACCTTCTGGCTCTGGGCCTCACTCACCAGGCTACAAGGATCTGGGCCACGGCTTATCTGCCGCAGCTTAAAAATCTGGCTTTACATCGATCCCTGCACTTTGGACCTGATTTTATGTTTGAAGTATTGCTTGTAAAGCATGCAATAAATGTAGGGAAGAAAATGGTTTCACACATGGTTTTACACTGCAAAGATTTTCAACTAAATAGGAAGGATGAGAGGCGTTTTTCCAAACACCGTCCTTGATGGTTGTACAGAGACGGCACGCTTGGTCAATTAGTTGGCGCTTCACTTTTGCTCCGCAGTAAAAATGTTTGGAAGGATTGTCATGCAATGTAGAAGTGACATTCATGGTCCCTGGGAAATCAGACTTTGAAGACTTTGGTGATTTCCTGACTTTCCCTGCTCATGTGGAATCACTACATGAGGTTCAAATTAGTGGTTTAGAATAGAATGTCTGAACAGCTATTGGACTGATTCAAAAAACTATGGGAATGGGTCTCTGGCTGCTGCACCACTGCACAGGATTGTGAAGTTGGTTGAATGAGAACAGACAATGGAAATGGAATGGTCTCCATTACTGTGTGTGTGTTACAGGGTGGAGTGTCGCTAGATAATTCTTATTTACTGCCTGTTGTAAGACGGCTTTGTTTACATTCGCCTGTTGTACGCCATACACTGGATTGTGCTGCATTCACTTTCTTTGGTTTGTGTTGGGTTTAACTAATTGTAACTAGATAATGTATAACACATATATCCACTTCAGGATTCAAACCTTTAACCTTTAGCTCGACCTCGTAATCACTAAACCACAAGAACAATCAAGCAAATATTAAAAACAAAACACAAATGCAGTTCGTCAAACGGTGCGTTCAGCGTCAAGTCAAAGTCAGGGCATGAGTGTGATGGTCATGTGATCTTCTTCGAGGTGGAAACAGCGGTGTGTGTGTGTGTGTGTGAGCTGCCCTCTGCTGCCCTGTGAGCTCCACACCGTAGGTAGAGTTTGTTTTGCTTGTTCTGCCCAGTGAAAGCTGTTTCCTCCCTCAGGAAGATGATGCTCCGTCTGCCCTCTCTGTTGGGACTTGAGACCCAGCACTGCCATCAAAAGTGACCTCCCACAGTGCCACATGGTGGCTTGGCCATGCAAATGCAGGCTTTGGCTGTGGCCCTAACAGTAAGGGACTGGGTTGGTATCACTTTCAACGTGTTATTTTTAAGCCTGGAAATGAACAAAATGATCAGTTGGAAGTTTGGAACCCGGACATGTGTTTCTGATGTGAAATGAAAACAGGATTTGAAGCGAGCTCCTCTGGTGGCGTGGGCTCCATCTCACTCTGACTTGCCCTACTTTTTGAGTGCTCTTAATTTAAAGCAGTCATGTCAAGATGATTTCTTTGTGACGGCTTTTGGATTTTGTCATGTTATACAAGTGCAGAGTTCATCTGGGTTTTATTTCCTCCGCGCTAAGATCTCTGCGTCCTGATTGGTAGATGGGACCAGCTGGGAGGGATGACTGAGAGCCTGAGGTATTTCTGCTGTAACAGAGAGGCCTCTCCCATTGGTCCCTACACTGGACGGGGCCTCCTTTATGGTCCCTTGGGAACACAGCTGGAGGGAGTGAGTTCATTTTTTTTAATGGGAAAGCTGAGACTCCTTCTTCTGCGTCCAACACATAAATTACACTGAAATTACACTGTGTTACATCTATTTTACAGGTAAATATGAAAAAACATTGAAAGTCAGATTTACTCTTGTAACATGCACGTAATGACTGCAAAGATCAGCATCATCAGCTCCACTGAGCTGCCCCTGTCACATTGGGGGTCTTATCAGTGAGGACAGATTCGCCCTCCACTCAGAGAACCCCCCCCGCCCCCCACAAAAAAATCAGTTTGGGGGGCGGGGGGGGGTCTCTGTGTGGGGGGGGGGGACGTCCCCCCCCCCCACACAGACACCCCCCCCCGCCCCCCAAAAAAAAATCAGTTTGAGGTGCGGAGTGAAAAAAGCCATGATGTTTTCTTTAAAGCTCCAGAGGGATGAACGTCGTAAAACGTAACGTTTAAATCGTAACGTCAACCAAAGTGTGTGTCGCCAAGAAAGATATATTGTTTGTAAAATTGTGCGGCTTGAAGATCAAGGCTGATTGGAGGAGGGGCTGCTCAGGGGGTTACCTCCATATCTAGGAAAGTGGTTTAATGTTTGACACTGGTAACTGAGACCAAAAGGAAACAAGAAGGAAAACCACAACCGCAGGAAGTTAAAGAGAAAACACAGATTTGAAGCTGCACAACCTTCCTCGTTGTCCAAACAAACTCATGTGATAATGTCACTGTTATAAAATATATTGATGTATACACACAAGTTCAGTGTTTCTCAGTTAAGTACATATATATAAAACAAAAATGTAAAACAAAAAATACCACAACATAGAGTTTTAAATGTTGACTTTTTTTGCTCAGGCTCGACCCAAAGGTGAAGGTCTCACCCCCTACCAGGGCAAGAAGAGGTGTTTTGGTGAATATAAATGCCCCAAATGCAAGAGGAAGTGGATGAGCGGGAACTCCTGGGCCAACATGGGGCAAGAGTGCATCAAGTGCCACATCAATGTTTACCCCCATAAGCAGGTAAGGATACATCAGATTTAACATTTTTTAAATAATAAAAAATATTATATTAATATATAGTAATACTAGTTTTTCTATGAGAGTTACAGATTTATAGTGTTTTATATTTTTTCCAAATACAGTTTTGTGGAGATCTGATGCAACAGCTTCAGTTTCTTCTCACAGAAAAAAAAACACTTCCTCAGAACATCTGACCCTTCCCTGCCCCACGTTGGTTTATTTTCAAAAACACTTGGGGGGGAAGTCGTATATATTTATAGTGTGTCATGTCGGTGCTGTTACCTTCTCAGTTGCAGCATTATTACCGACAATAAAATCCTATCCTCTGCTCGTACTGTTGCAGCGTCCCCTGGAGAAACCAGACGGCTTGGACGTGTCGGACCAGAGCAAGGAGCATCCACAGCACCTGTGTGAGAAATGCAAAGTCCTTGGCTACTACTGCCGCCGCGTGCAATAACTCACTCCAGCTCCACCTCCTTGACTTCATGGAGAAGGGACATGGTTACATTTCTGTGACTGAGAAACATATGGTGAAATCCTTTAAAATGTCATAATACATCTAACGTTTGATTCCCAGGTGAGACGCTGGCTGACACTGTGACTCTCAGTCCTGTACATGCTCCACGGTATCTCAGTATTTTATTATTATTATTATGTGAACAACAGCAACGTCCTGACTATGACCCAAAAACCTTACCAACTGTGAATTTAAAGAAAAAAAAAACCTTTTGCTCAGCGTCTGTATCGGAGCAAAGTTTGTGAATGAAGCTTCCACATTGACATGTTTATATATTTCAGATATAACTTATATCTTTTCTGTATAAAATATGCAACAAGTCTTTACCTTGAAGGAAATGCAGTGTTTATGTGTATCTGCAACATTGTTTGTAATATCAGTACTGGAGGGTACATAGTTTTTATTGTGGAATATTTGCAGTCACTAAGCTGTTAAATACACTTTATAAGGGAATATATTAGCCATTAACATACTGTATATTCTTTGTATACGTGCCTGCAGAAGGGTTATTTCTTCTGAATCGTAAAACAATGCAATATTTTAGAACCGTGCTTTTACTGACTAATAGGTCACAGTGTACTTTTGTTTTGGCACCCAGTGTCAGATTTGTTTTTCCAAATATGTTATTACCTCTTAAATGTAAAACGAGAGAAAAAGGAATTTTAAACTTGAGTTAACCCAAAACCGTAGAAGGGAGGGAGCATGTGCATGTTGCTCAGGAGTTTTTAAATTTGTAATTAAAGTAATATCTAATGTTTGATGGAACTATTACTGTGCCTTAGCTTGTCTTATCCATTAAATGGAGCTTTGGGAATTGTTTTTTTTTATTAAATGCTTTTAAACACATTATGAACGAACTCCTCTTTTAATTTCAACCTCAAGTTTATATTTAACAAACAAACATAGTTTAGTTGAAATACGGAAATTCTAATTGATCGATGTGATGTAATCACCAAAGTGTTGTGTGGTGTGGGGTGTTTCTCTGAACTCCAGAGAGGATCACTCACACCAATGGGAATCATTTATCCTGCTGTATTTAACATTGCATTTCAGGGCGGGTTTTTTTTGTTGTAACTTTTGGCACAGTTTGTGTAAAGTTTATCCATATGTTTGGGAGCTGAGAAAACCCACCAGGCTGAGAGGCCAACAAATGACATCATCCCCATAACTCAGCCAGATGGTTTTAACATAAGAAAACAAGAGTTTGTATCATTTTTAATATCTCTCCGCATCTGGTTTACTGATCAGATTTGGCTTCACCTACTTGTATACTTAACAGCACTGAGTGATAGCAGTTAGATTCATTGGTGCAGATTTTTCTTTTGAGTCTGAACCAGGAAAAACCTATGTGAAAAAGTAAAAAGAGGTCGTTGATTAGTTGTGGAAAAAAAAAAAAAGGATCCAACTCCACAGATGTGAACAGTCACATCTTTAATTCATAAGGTTTATGTTTGGCAACTTAGATTTTTCCTGTCAGGGATGTTTTGACATTTGGATCATGAATAACAACACAAATCACCGAGCAGATCACATTAAAAACAAGGACATTCATCCTACAGCACTGTGGCGTCCATTTCACATTTGTTTCGCAGCACACGGTTACGTGCGCTTGTTGACGGTGCCTTGAATTTTTTTACCGTCAGCAGAGACGTATGGCAGTGACTGAAGACTGCGTCTCTTTCACTGAGAGCCTCAAGTTGAAATTACAGCAGAAGATGACGAAGCAGGTGGAGTCTACTGAAGTTCTCCACAGTCTGTGATAGTGATCTTCTTGGAGGTTCTGCCGGACCGTGAACCAAAGGTCTCCACTTTCTTGACCACATCCAGTCCCTCCTTCACGCTGCCAAAGACAACATGTCTGTCATCCAGCCTAAATGAAAAACAGACAAACGTTATTATCACTGCCCCGTGAAGTGAGACCATCCATGCTGAGTTCAAAGTCCATCTGTTTGTGAAGTTATGCTTTTATTTCTGTCGCTGGTTTTTAAAACGTCTATAAACCTCTATCAAATTTTACAGTTTGTGCCAAAACTTATAAACTCGAAGAATGTTTCTCTCTACAGACTGAAAGAAAAATATTTTTCTTTTTTTAACAATAACTCAACACTGTTGAAAAGCATTATTTAAAGGATCTAAAATAACACTTGTAAATCAACACTTGCTGCTCGTACCAAAACTCTTTCACTGTATTGGATCTCTGGGACACATGACTGTTTATTGCTTTATTATTATTATACTTATTGTGCCGAATAAAAGACTAGGGAGCTTCTTGGAGTTACAGGCAAAACCTCTGGCAGCAGATTCAAGCGCTCCTCTCTTCAGAGTCCTGCTCCTCAAACTCAAATATATAAAAAGTGCATCAGGGTAGCCATTATCTTTTTCCATGTGGTTTTGAGACTATATTTTTCTGCGACTGCGAGTGGTTGGCTGTGTGCTGCCACTGATACCACGTACAAGTTTCTCCCCCATTATTGACCCTGGACTCTGCAGTCCTCTTTAGACTCACGTGTATTTGCATAATAAAAAGAAATTTTACCATTAGCACCTACATTTTACCACTGTATATTAAATTAAATAATCAAATAATTTGTTTTACCCTCACTACACATGATCATACAGGCAGGGGTGTCAAACTCAAATTAACAGTTTGAAAAACTGGGACGGAGTCTTGGGCCAAACTTAATATTTATTAAAAAATTGTCTGAAACTGTGAAACAGATGTGCAATGCAGACTTTTCTTATATGAAAACAAACTTTAGTTTTTAGTAAACATTGAACCTGGAACAACCAAAGCTTAACATTATAAACACATGATAAATTAAATTTGGAATAAAACACACATCAGTAGTATTTATTTCTTATTATGTCTCTTTATCTGTAGCCTTTATCCGAGTTCCCTTTTAATGTAAATCTTTTTTTTACAGACAAAAAACAAAACATAACAAAAAACAAAAAAGTATGTGCTGTAACATAGCGTAACACATAATCACATAATCTGCTAATACTACAAATTCTACTACAGTTGGCCCACCAGTATATAGCCTGACACATGTGAATTTAGGGCTTTCACCTCTGTGTTTTCAGCCTTCATTTTAAACAATACTACAGTAGTAGTATAAGAGTCACCAGAGTACATCCAACACAGGGAAATGTGTCAGTACTCACCATTCTGTCTTAGCAGTGCAGATGAAGAATTGGGATCCATTTGTGTTTGGTCCAGCGTTGGCCATTGACAGGATCCCTACAGAGTAACACATTCACAGTCTGACAGTCATTTAAAAACGTCACATTAAAATATCTATGTCGATTTAGTTCAAACATATGTAGTCGTTTTACCGTTATCACGTTAAACGCTATCACGTACTAAATGATATGACATATTTTAGTGGTGCCACCTGGTGGACACTTGGCTGAGTTACAGCGTCCTATTAAAGGTTTACAGTTTGATGTAAATCTTTCCACATTAATGGTGGCATTCCAAAAATGATGCTTCCTGCTTGTCTGCACAAGCTATTTAGAAACACGTCACAGTCACAACAGACCTATCACATCACAGCGTGGTCCTGAGAATTCACTTGATTTCACCCACACACACTGATCAAATTCACAGACATGTGGAAAATCATCCCCTAAAAAATTAGGTTTTCCCTGAGAAACTCAGGCCCAACTGGATGTAAACAAAGAAAAATGAACATTTTACCAGGTCCAGTGTGCTTCAGTTTGAAGTTCTCATCTGGAAACTTCCAGCCATAGATGGACTTCCCTCCTGTTCCATTGTGGTTTGTGAAATCGCCCCCCTAAAACATAAAAAAATTAAAATGAGGACACAGTCTGATACCATTGTAACAGGACTATACAGAAGCAAAACCACAACAAAAGAAAATAATACCTGGCACATGAACTGAGGGATCACCCTGTGGAAAGTTGATCCCTTGTAACCAAAACCATTTTCCCCAGTGCACAGGGCCCTGAAGTTCTCTGTGGAAATAAAAAAACACAGTGAAAAAGTCAATGAAAACAAATTAACATTTGAAACAGCACAAAATGTAGATTATGATTTTTACTCTTAGGAGGAAAAGAGGGGAAAAGGCTACCAGTAATAATAAGTAGATTGTATTTCAGTTTAACACAAACTACTAAATGTTAAAATAAACTAAATTAATTACAATTTGATATTTTTCTGACATCTTAATGTGTTGAGTGTTATCTGTGACACTGTCCATGTATATATAATAAATAACTTAAATAAAATGTATATAATAAATAAATTAATAAAATGTCGGAGCAGAGAAGGTTGAAAATATTAATATTAATGAGAAAACACAGACCGGAAGTGTAGGAAGTTAACATAGTTTGAATGGAACGGACAGGCCTGTTTTGATCAAATGTGAATTCTTTGGGTCATAATTTGCCTACAGACTGCTCGACTACAAAGAGTTATGAAACCAAGTCACAAGACACTTGTTCAGTCTTGTTTCAGTGGCGCTCCATTCCATGTCTAATTGCTTTATCCTCAGGTTTATCTGTATGTGTGGACAGTCAACATCCACGTCTCACCTGCTGTTTTGGGAACAACGTCTGCGTTGAGCTGAAAGAGAAAATGTCAGTCATTAATGTGCAGCGTTATGGTGAAGCTTAATTTGATTCAATTCGCGCATATTCTGCTGCACATAAACCGGTCAGGGGAGCAGTGATGGATTGGTCGTTAAGGAAGCGGACCAAACTCTGGAAAAGTCTTGGGTCTGGTTCCAGGTTCGAGTCCATCTGCTGTCAAGTTATCATTCAGGTGCTCTGAGCATGGCGCCGTCCCCACACACTGCTCCCCGGACAAAGCTCACTTTGGTGAAAAATAATTGACTTTCACTTAAACTTAACAAACAAACAGAGGAAGTCTGATGATTTTAAAGTACTCACTTCAAACGTGACCCTGCCGAGAGGCTCGTTGTCTGCAGCAATGTCAAAGTAAACTGTTGGGTTATTGTTGGCAGCTGCAGCCCCGCTGCTGCACATACGAGCGGCGGTGAACGCCAGAGAAAACAACTTTATTCTATTTGTTAACACCAGCATGTTTCCAAGCTACTACGAGTCAGATGCTGCTGCAATGAAGTCCACAAGGGCACAAGAATTCACACTTGCATGTGTAACCCGGAAACACGTTTCGTACAAATCTCGCGAGGCTACATAAACACGTTTCTTTCTGCCCTGTTTTAATCACTCAATAAAAATGAAATAATATACGTAAATTAAATGGAAAAGTAGCTTGAGGAGTATATATTTTTGCTAATATACGTTAGTCGTTGTAATCTTTTTAAACTAATAGATTGTGCTGATTCGTTTGAAAGTAATACTGTATTTAACAATACAGTATTACTTTCCTTCTGTAGATTTGTCGCCCTCTTCGGGACAAAGAAGGTACACTACAAAGCTCATACTAATAAAAATAATAATTGATGTATGTATAAATGATTGTTATTATTATTTATTATTATTATTAGTAGTATTTCTACAGCTACTGATGGCCATAAACTGTATTTGCATGCATATATGGACAAAAATATCTTTTTTATTATTAACTGAAGGCTGTTGTTTTCTTGTGATTCAATATTATTGGAGAGATAAACAATATTTATCTTTTACCTTGAGTACTGCTAAATGCCACCGATGTTTCAGGAATTTGAATGTCTTTTTCCCAAATTAATACATTTTAAAGATTATTTTAACTTCACGACTTTTGGTCTGGTCAATTTATTCAAAGTTAGTTTAATCAAACATAAAACATGTCCAGGTCTGGTGTATTCTAGATTTTACAGGAATAGCAAAAGGAATAGCAAAAGATTTAAAGACCAAATTTAGAGAAACTCAAAGGGACATTCTCTATGACACTACGTTTATCCAGATTCCACTCCATTCTTGTTCTGAAAGAAAAAGACCACAGTGACATGAAGGTATCATCCGAATACATATTTATTAGATAAATATTAGGTGGTCACATCATCTAACTACATACAGTTCTGCAAGACTAAAAATCACAATTAGTTCCTTTATTTTCTGACCAGTTTAAAATATGAAATGATTGTACGTACAATGTATAAACGTAGAGACAATGGCCGCGTGGCATGAATTCCATCATTTCCCCAGCTGTTTATGACGTCAAAAACTGAACACACTATGAATTTGGTTACAATCTTCAAGGCCCGTTCCACCCACCGAGCCACCAGGCAATCGTCTTTGCGATCTTGTTGCCGTGGTTTCATCTATTAGTCGTTTTTAGCACCTCACAGTGTGGAGGTGACAGACAAGGAGGCTAAGGGATAAATATTACATCTAACCATTCCCCTGGCTAAAGAGGTGAACATATATTACAGAGGGGGAAACAAAATGCTCAGATACCCATGGACCCTAACGAACCAGTTTCAATTTCCATATTCAGCCACTTCCAGTAGAGGGGTTGCAAGCTTTTTATTATTTTGAAGAAACAATGCACATTCCCAAGGAAAAGAATACATTTCTGTTCACATGTCTCAAATAGGCATTTACATATATACAGGCATTCTTGGGACATTTGACCTAGCCTTGCCCTCAGCATCCTTTCCAGGTCGGAGCGACGTCGTGCTTTTCCTCACTTATTTATTTACTTTTTTATAATTTATTTATGAAACACCACCCCCTGCTCAGAAAATGGCCTGTTATTGTGATTGTGCAACTACAGATTTTGGGGGGTGTTACCTAATACACTGAAGTGGCTCGTTCAAAAGTACGAACAAAATACAAAGTCATAATGAATTGTGTGGGGTGGATTTTGAGTTTCAATTGAAATATTAAAAAAATATAATAATGTATAATTGTTTTGAAGACTCGATTTGAAGTCTGCTTATGACGGATACACGAAGCACGAATGAGAGCAAGTATCATTACTGAAAGGGCATTGAAAACAATGCTTACACAAAACACTGGTGTTGAAATTCAGCTGAATGCTGCGGTCGAAAGAAATTGGATTTCTAGCCTTACAGATCGATAAGAAAAAAACAGTACAAAATAATTTACCAAAAACAAAAAGGGGATAAAAATGTGTATGGTCTCATGCTTTGAAAAAAAGCCCCATTTTCTATAAAATATAAACAATATGATGAATTTCTTTAAAATATGGTTGTGATATATCTTTAAAATGCCACTGTGTATGGACAATTAGCAACAATTATGATATACACATAGCTCACTAATTACATTGAAAGCCAGCTGTTACCACATCTTTTTAAACCATCACGAGATGTTAACGTAAATCCATGAACAAACAAAGTTAATGATTCCAAATCTGACACATTAAAAAAAACATTTGCCCCAAACTGATCTTATTTTGTTAAATTTAAAGTGAAAATAAAAAACAACCAACAACAGATGTAATACAGAGTACACCGGGAGGAAAGTTACAGGAAAGCACCGTGCCGTGCAGGAAGAAGCTGATGAGAAGTTTGGATTGGCCTTGGTCACAACAAGGAGACAAGACTGCTGCAGGAGGCTGGTTACTGGAGGTGGTCAGAGGGGTACGTGTGGAGACTTATGATCAGAGGACACATATTACCAAGATGATACAAAAATATTCACAATGATATTTACAGTACAATAGCATTTCTTAAAAAATAATACATTTGCACAGCGGACAGCACTCTTCTCAGGAAGTGGAACATGAAAACGAAGGTCGGCACCAATACTGCTTTAAAAAACAACTTCTTGAACAGTAGCCATGGATGAACTGAAAGTGTCCTCTCCTATATCTTTACAATCACACACACACTGTCTTACTCGATCACACACACACACACACTTGCATGGTCAGACACGGGATCAATCGACACAAACCCCTCCATTCTCGTTCCCCTAACTTTGGTGACGTTGAGCAGTTTTACCAAAACACGTGGATAGTTCAGTTATGTAGCAAAGAAAAAAAAAGAATTACAAATATAATACAGTATATCTGGCAAATACATGAAAAATGTATTGCTGATATCAGCATAATCCCTTCAGTGTTAGTGTTAAATAAATCATACTAAATCTGACAGAAGTAAAAATCAATACGAGAGCAGAGGAAACAGCAACTGATGAAAAAAAAAAAACCCTATCTCGTTTTTTTTTGTTGTTTTTTTTTTAACCACTTGGAACAGCACTAGACGAGGACTTGGCACACATGCACTTGGTAGACTATTTAGACAGCACATCATTTAACAGGGTAAAGAGATGCAACTTTGCAAAAACCCTGACCCGTGTAACACTGGGGCTCATGCAGAGCAGAGGGCGTGGAAGGAGTTAGAGCAGGAAGCAGTAAACACAGCAGGATCATCACAGAAACCCCCCAGCCCCCTCCCCCCCGATCACTGATGAATGTACCTTTCATTTCTGTTAAAACCTCTCCTCTGTACAGGAGCGTGATCGCTACACAACATGTAAAGTACACACACACTGCTCTTGTTGTCTCGTATAAACCGTGTTGTTGCTGCGGCAGGGCCCAGAATCTTCTCCACTCCAGTTGTTAACCCTTAGAGAAGTGAAAAGTAGAGACAGGTCTCTTTCTTTTTGACAAAAATATCTAGGTATCACAATCGTAGACAAAGTGGAAGCCGATCGTTCGCAAAATTCTCGTGTAAGCCAGAAGGGCAAAAATCTTTTCAAAAACCTTTTTTTTTTATCAAGGGCAAATAAACGTGGATCCAAATGATCTAGTTTTTCTTCTCTACCACAGACAGGAGAGCAGTGTCAGTTTTTTTTTTTTTTTTTTGCATTGCCGAAATCTCTTGTGCTTTTAAATGATGTGTGGTGGACAAACAGTGAGACTAACCAGTCGGGGAATGGAGCTGTGACCAGGAAGCTGCGGCCGTTCAGACTGGAATAACAACATGGACATTAACACAGACTGGCCAGACAGCACAGTTATTTTGGATTTTTTTTTTCTTTTACAATATTCCTTTTTTGTTCCAAGGAAACAAAACATGAATAAAAATGCTACACGTGTTTTCTAATGTGCACACGTACACCTGTATGTGGCTTAAAAAAATCAACCCAGTATAGCTGCACAGTTCAAAGATGGCCGCCTAGGGGCTGAGCGCCCCACCGCGTCTTCGAGTTTTAACCTCTTTCAGTCAAGTCTGCGCTGGCGAATGAAAACTGTACAAGAGGAAGAAGAGAAAGGGAGTGCATCTTTGTGTTCGTCGAGCACTGAGCGACCACCCCAGCTTTTCAGGGAGAACGTAGGCAACCAGAGAAGTTCATGTGTGACTGATTGGCCTCAGTTGTTTTCAAAGAGCGATAGAAGGTCATCGTTGCTATTGCTGGGAAGGTCAGGGGGGTCCAGGTAGGACAGCAGCTCATCGGGGTTCGCCAGTTCTGGTAGAAGCTGTGGAGAAGAAAAAAAAAAGTGAATTAAAAAAAAAAAGATTTGTTTAATTGGAGAAAAAAACAAATTTCGCAGAACTCACGTCTAAAGATGGCTCTGGCATGTCGGAGCCGGCTTGGTTGTCCAAACTGCTGGCGGGGTTAAATGTTAGGTCACTGTGGGAGTGGTTGTTGGGTCCAGGTGGTGGCGGTTGCTGCTGCGGTTGTGGCTGCTGTTGCTGAGGAGGTGGAGCTGGTCGCGAGGGCTGCGGAGGCCCGCCGTGGTGTAGCTGCTGCCCTGATTGGCTCCCAGGGTGGGGAGATGCGTGTAAGCTCTGCTGCATTGGACCATGTGATTGGTCGTTGTTGGCAGAGTGAGGTATCTGTAAAAAAAAACAAAAAAACATTTAGGCTAATATCTGAGAGTGACAATAACTTAGAGCAATGATTGCTCATATATATGTATACTGTATATACTATAAATATATATATATACATATACTTATATATGTATTATTATAAATAGTTATATGTGTGTGTATATATATACATATATACATATATGAATATATGTATGTATATTATATTGCATTATATATATTTTTATAGCTAAATATATATATATATTATATATATTTCCTTATTTTTTATATATATATATATATATATTTTAGCTATAGGTATATTTATGCGTACTCATACATAATGTAATACACAAATATTAAGTTTAGTAAATATTTGCTGAATGTACTTTTCATGTATTTCTTCAGTACATGTGGTACTCACAGAGTCAGGCATATTGTGAGAGAGTGGCTTGTCCTGGTTCATCATGCTGTTGGGCATGTCAGGGGGGTGAGAAAGCTGAGGACCGTGCATGAAGTCATTCATTGATGTTCCACCAGGGGTGCCATGAGGAAAATCAAAGTTCCCATGCCCCGGGTAATTGTTTCCTAGCACACACAAATAAATAAAAAAATAAAAACTTATTAGACAAAAACTTCAGAGTTTGATTCAAATCACGTATTTAGGGAGGGTAAATTTAGCCGTACCTTGGCTACCGTATTCACTGTTGTTACTCCCTTGCTGAGAGGGTAGCGAAGGGTATGGCGAGGGGCCGGGGCCAAGTTGAGCGATCATCTCCATCACATTAGGCATGATCATCTGGCTGGGACTCATGGTTTTAAACCTTTTCGCCAGTGGCCCGTCTGGATCCTCCTTGATGTGTATTTCAGATTTTATGGCCACTGGTCGCCAACTGCATGTGGGGTCAATGGTGACCTCTTCAAACTCAGAGCTGAGGGAGTTAAGATTGGAACCACACGTTGAAGACACAGGAAACACAACTGGTGTGTGCGTTAGAAATCTGTTTCTCTAATCCACTTACTTCTGGATGGCGTTGAGGATTCCCCACATGTACTGGTCCACTTCCAGCCCTTCTAACAAAGCAGTTTTACTGCGAAAAGAAAGGTACAAGCTCTTAATACACGCAGGGAGTTGCTGTGTCATTTATCAGGTCACTAAAACCAGCCTGATCCTGTATGAAAACCGGGTTTACGTACTTGCATACAGGACATCTCCACGTCCCCCGCTCACAGTTCAGTTGTAAATAGGATTCCAAATCAAAGCACTAAAAGAACGACAGAGTGAAGTGTCATCTAAATTATTTTTCCCTTATATTGTTTTCATGTCGAGAAGCGGTGCTTTCGCCTGCGATGGTTACCTGAACGTGTTTACAGTCGTGGCCTCTCGCCGGAAGCTGTATTCGCCGGAAAGTGATCGGACATTTGAGCGAGACCTTGATGGCCGTCTGCTCCACGCTGTCCTCTCCGTTGAGCGTGGCGTTGCCTGATGACGCTGCCACGCTGCTGAAGTTCCTTTTAACTTTTGAAGCAGAGGGAGAAGGATACCTCAAGTTAGCAGACTGACAGGACTAAACAGGACTTCAGGGAGAGAACTGCGGCTTCGCTTCAATGCGAGTACCTTTGGTGATGCAGTGCTCTGCCGGCAGGAGCCTCTTCTTCAGTAATCCCTGGAGAACGGAGCGCACCGAGGGCCTGTGGACCAGCTGCAGCACGAACAAGTGCGACTGTGGGAGCGAAAATCAGCGTTATTAGCCGTAAACACCAGCAGTGAGCTTTTCGTACTGCAAGGATTTTACACTTACACAGCAGCAGGCTGTTACTGTGATCTGGATTGTGTTCCTCCCCGGCTGGCATACGTGTTTCAAGTGCAGGGGTTTGTGGGACGTCTTGTTGTCGCCCCTCTCGATAGTGAGCGGTGTAGCGTTGACGCTGACTTGGACCGATGCCGGCCAGTTGGTGTTCATCTGACGATCCTCATGATGATAGCACTTAAACTGCAGCTCCAGGTCTGACCTGAGAAGTCAAACAAAAGGTCAAATAAATAAACACCACTGCGTGATCAAGACATTCAAATCACTAGATCAGATATAATTATTTTTATTATGAATATGCTGTGTACATATGCTGCCTTACCGCCACATTAGCGTCTGGTGTACGGTGGGTCGTAAGTGAAAGACGTGGTTGCTGACAGCCAGGTTATGTTCTAGCCTGAAGGGCTCTAGAACAACTCCATCTCGTACTGGGAACGTCAGACGAAGCTCCTCATTGTGATTGGCTGTTTGAGTTTAAAACAGTATTGGTTAATAATAATAATAATAACAACATGTCTACATGCACTGACTGCTGACCCCTGACTAACCTGGCGGTGGAGGGAGAGCTGTGATACTTGGTTTGATGTCAGGAGGGAAGGGAGGCTTCACATCCTGGTTTGGTGACAGGTAGGGAGGGATGTTACTTCCTGGGGTCATTGGAGGAGTGGGGTTGCCCGGCACTGGGGAGTGAGGGTAGTTTCCCACAGGTCTGGGGGGCTTAAGTGAAATATAAAAAGAATTAAGTTAAATTTTAACCCCATCATGAGGGTAAAATGTGATAAAAAAGGTATAAAAAAAGCCACTTACCCCATTCATATTACCCTGGTTGTACTGATATCCACTGCCAGAGAAGTTGTTGGTCTGGCCATTGAAAGGAGGCTCCTGCTGTTATTTAGTAAAACAGAATAAGCAGTGACCTTGAGAAACCTTACAGATAGTATATGGACAACACTAAAAACAGCACTCCTCAGTACAGCAACAAGATAAAGATTAAAAACTACCTTATAGTACTGGCCCATGGCACCACTGGGGGGTGGGTACTGGCCCTGTAGCTGCTGTCCAGGCATCCTCTGACCAGGGTAGTTGGGAGAGGGCAGTGGCCTGGAGGCATTGGGTGTGGGGTACTGCCCCTGCTGGTTGGGGAACTGGTTGTTTGGTCCATACTGCTGTCCACCATAGTTAGGCTGCAAACGAGGAGGTATGTTAACAAAAAACTATCTCTTAAGAAATGAATCCTACTAACTCTTAGCTTTACTCACCTCTCCTGGATACGGCCTTTTCATGCCCTGCATGCCCATGCTCTGAGGTCGAGGTCCTGCATAGGCTTGCTGGGGCATCCGTTGACCGTGGGCCCCAAACGGCCCCATGCCTTGGCCCCTGGGCTGGTTCATTCCCATAGGGGGCCCGCTCATGTTGGACGCATTCATGCCTGCGCCCATGTTACCAGGGAGTGATGGAGGGCCGCGGGGTCCGGGCTGGTTCATGAACTGGCTGTTGTACGCCTGGTTTGGTCCCATCTGGAAAGAGGAACTCATCTGAAAAACAAGGAGGGTTCAACTGACCATCTAAATGACTGGCAGACGACAGACTGATCAACACGTGTTACTCGATCAGATGATGAACAACTGTAGTAACTAGTAAAGGATTTTCACTATCATCATTTGGAAAAGCATCATATTCATATGAGCCCACGTACCGGCCCATATTGGTTCATGTCCTTGTTCTGGGTTTCCTGCAGGGCGGCCACGGTTGCCGTAGCAGTGGCGGGGGGGGCA